CTGACCGCCCTTGCTAAACCTCCAGTTCTCGAGAAGGCAGACCTCAGGCTCAACAGTATCCAGCCACAACTTATTAACACTGTTTCTCCTTGCTTTAAGTTTTACAGTTACCTTATTATAGTGATACTGATTTTGAAATATGGAGCAATCAAGTTTTCTCGTAAAATCATAAAACGTAAAATCATATTTAAGCGAAAATAAGAGAGACAATTTAGAGAAAAACGTCAAGTAAACAAGAGTATGGGTAATACGTACGTGGACGTGGCAAAAACTGTGAAGTGTGCGAAACACTGTCGTGGGTGTAAAATGAGCCCAGGACGGATTCGCAGAAAGGGAGCGACAAGACCAGATTGTGATTACGTGTAAAACCGCCTCGCCAGGCCTGTACCTCACGCGTGGCACATCTCTCTTCTCCCTCTCCAGACCTCAGTTTCTCCATCCGCAAAGGGACGTTGCAGTCGCCCAGACCCGGGGTTTAGCGCCCTCAGCCCAGGCCGCAAGCCCGTTGCCCGTGGCAACCACGGGGGTTCTCGCAATGGCTCCCGCCATCCCCGCCGGGACCCGGCCTCCCGCTCCTCCCGGACTGCCCTGCTCCTCACCACTGCTCGGCTTTATCTCTCCACGTCAACACGGCCCGCATCGCGACTTCCCTCACGCCTCGGACCCCTCCTACCCGCCTCAGAGACAGCCGCTTCCCCGCGAGCCACTTTGGCTACCTGCGCTACCCCTGGCAACGCACATGCGCAATGAGCTAGGCGCGCGGCCGAGGGTTCCGAGTGCGCATGTCTAAAAGGGAGAGCTGCGACGGGAGCAAAAGGAGAGGGAACGGGAGGCTAGAAAGCGTCTGCGCAATTAGGGCGCGCCGGATTGGTCGGAACGGTCGGGGGGCGGTGCGTCCTCCTCAACAAAGGATTTGATTGGCTGAGCCGTGGAAATGGCGGCTGTGGCCAAGAGGGTGACGTAAATGCCGCTGAGGAGGCTGACAGACTTGGACTGCCTTCAGCTTTTTGTTTCAGCCTAGCGCTCTAAGCTGGAGAAGTTTTCACATCCTTACTCTGCTCCACACTCAGGGTGTTGCATCTTCTCAGTCCGTTGCGGAGGCCGGAGCCCGCTTGAGGGGCACAACTGGGATGGAGACTCCGAGCCTGGGGGACTGCGGAGCTGCCCCCTCGGTCAGCTCCAGTGAGCGCCTACTCCCAGCCCGGCCTTGTGACCTCCGGTAAGCTACTGTCCCCTTTCGAGCCTCAGTTTCATCACCTGTAAAATGGGAGCGGGGAGGAGAAGGTGGGTAGCCTTTGTAACCTAGGGTCGACAGAGCCGTCGAGGCCCACGGGGTTAGTTATAGGAGATGAGGCCGGAGCTCAGGTTCTCCTCCGGTGGGGTCAGCCCTGGGGTGCTCCCGACCTCCTTAGCCAAAGTGACGAGGGAGGCTTTGCGGTGCAAGAAGCCGTCTGCGTGGCTTGGAGGATCCTAGGAAGACCTTGGAGGAGATGTCATGTTAAGCTGCCAGGGGCGCCCCAGAAAGGGATGCTCTGAGAAGTAACAGGAAGCGCTGGTCATTCGTCGAGTACTTGTTTTTGTGCGATATGGGGCTAAGATGATTTAAATGCTTTTTTCCCCCCAAAATTTAATCCCTAGAAAACTGTCTTAAGAGGTATCACCTCCTTTTTACAGATGGAGAAAGGAGACTTTGAGAGATTAGATGATTTGCACTTGGACACATAGCTAGTAAATGGCAGAGCTGGATTTGAACCCAGTCTGTTGATCTTAAAGTTTGTGTTCTTTTCACCAGGTTTTGGTCTCCTTATGTCTAAAATTGTGAACTATATAATTTCTTAAGATCCACCCAGCTCCCCAAAATTATTTAACTCCAAATTACGTCAGACGACCTTGATTCTAATTCTAGTTAGTCAGTAGCTCTTGCTTGATTTTCCTATTTGTAGAGAAAAAGTTGGATTAGACATCTCTGTAGACCCATCCAACTTTTAAAATGTGTGATTTAGTGGTTAGGATACACTCTACTGAGATTTTTCAGTAATAGTATAAGGGGAGAAGTGTTAGATCAAGATTTAGTAGACCTGAGTTCTGGTATCAGTTCTGCAAGTAGCTTAATTTTCCTGTCACTTAATTTTGTCAATGAAATGAGAGTAATCCTTATCCTGCCTACCTCAGAAGTTTATCATGAGGATCAAGAATGAAAGAGATTTGAAAATTCCATATCAGAAATTATTTACATTTTAGAGGGTTACAGCATTTGATTAAAGTAATAGACACTCCACTCCCAGTAAAATGCACATATACATAAAATTTTTACCTCATTTAATTAGGGGGGAGGAGGATGTCTCACTGACTCCTTTAAGCAGTTCTGTTGATCCCAGGTTAAGAGCTCAGCTGTTGGTTTATGTTTTTAAACTTGTGCCAAGTGTCACCAGAAATCTTTATAACAGCATTATTCAATGATTAACAAAAAATTTTCTAACAAATAACTTGAGCTTTTCATTGTGCAGAGATTTCCAACCCTTTTTAACCCATGTTGGAGGACAAAAAGATATTCCCATAGCAATACTGGTCCATACTGATTTTAATCTCCCGTAGTCCAGATAGTCCATGTGATTCCTGCTCTACGTGGATTGAAATTGAATAAGCAGAGGAAAATAAATTTTAAATGAGCTAATCACTTGTACTTTGTTTTTTCAGCAAGGAAGATGTTGCTCCGGGATCAGAGACAGTGGGAAAAGATGAGAAACAAATGGTGATAAAAAGCAGCAGTGAGTGTAATCCCCTGCTACAGGAACCCATTGCTTCTGCTCAGTTTGGTGATACTGCAGTGACGGAATGCCATAAGCCTGTCCCATGCGGATGGGAAAGAGTTGTGAAGCAAAGGTTATCTGGGAAAACAGCAGGAAGATATAATGTATATTTTATCAGGTGAGTATGCAAGGTGGTGAAGATAGTACAGCCAAATAATTTTGTCCAGACAGGTAATGGGAAAGCATAGCAGGAATCTTGGCTTTTAAAATTTTTTTACCATAGAACCATTATGGATCCTGTTCCTTCAATGTCACTGGTTAATTATATCAAGTGATTTGAGAACAAGTACAGATATTTTCTCCTACTGTGAATGGTTAATGTTAAGGTTGCACTTAAGTTATATTTGTAAAATTATTTTGTACTATCATATAGGAAACTATTTAAAAGTACTATTTTATCACTATTTTTTATTTTAAATGACAAATGCCCATTGCAGCATTTGGAAATTATTAATAAAAAATCTGAAATGTTCTATTCTTTTTAAAAATCACTTTTATTTACTAGAAATAAGTTTCCTTTAATGTCATTTTCTAGCCCACAGGGACTGAAGTTCAGATCCAAAATTTCACTTGCTAATTATCTTCACAAAAATGGAGAGAATTCTCTTAAGCCAGAAGATTTTGATTTTACCGTACTTTCTAAAAGGGGCATCAAGTCAAGGTATAAAGACCGCAGCGTGGCAGCTTTGCCATCCCAACTGCAAAACGAAAGTAACAGTTCAAACCGGAACCTCAGGACTCGAAGCAGGTGGAAAAAAGATGTGCTTCCTCTGCCAAGTGGTAGTTTGGAATTACAGGATAGCAGAGGACTATCTAACTTTACTTCCATTCCTTTGCCTCCGAAAGAAGATGAGGATGTTAATGATGCTGACTCCAGAAAGGTTAGAAAGTCCAAAGGAAAGGTGACTATTTTGAAAGGAATTCAGATTAAGAAAACTAAAACAGGCTGCCGGAAGAGTCCTTCAGCTTCTGTTCGAAGTAATAGAAAAAGAGAATCTGGGTATAATAAGGCAGATGCTGAAAGTGAACCTGTTGTGCAAGAAAGTCAGCTTGATAGAACTTTCTGCATTTCTGATGCCACAGCAAGCAACAAGACCCTCAGTGTGACCAGTGAAGAAAAGAGACTTGTAGAAGAAACATCATTGAGTTCAGAATCAGATTTTCATTTTGAACAAATAACTTCTGGTGTCATAAACAAATTACGTTCAGCCAAAGAAGCAGAACCCAACAAGAAGTGCGAGGATGCCTTTTTAGAATCTGAGGAAATAACAAAAGTAGATGCTGGGGAAAGGAGGGAACATTTGCATATGGACATTTTAAAATGTGGCTCTGAAATGAACAACTGCTTACAAACCAAGAAAGACTCTACTTCTTTGAAAATATTTCAAGGTATTTGGTGCACTAAAGTGCTGTTAAATGTGACGAGGAGTTTATACTCCCGGATTTTGTATTTCATGCCTATACCCAGTTAGGATGTTGGAATAGAATGAAGAAATAAGGTATCAGATACATTATCAGATACATTACAATCAGATACAATATCAGATACATTCTACCAGTTGATATTAGTACCTTGTCTAACCGATCTTCAAGCCCTTTCCTATGGCAAAGAAGGAATCATCTGGCTACTGCCTTGATGCCTCAGCAAAGGAGAATTGTGCCATTAACAGCTGCTACCATCCCTCCCTGGTGCAATAGCTGGAATTCTCCTCCACAGTGCTTTCCGTTCTTCCCATTTTCTTTCCAGCCAGTAATCTTACAACTTTAGAGAAAATGAAAAGGCTTCACTTGTGAAAAAGTTTGAGGAAGAGTCCCTTTGTACATAAATGGTTAAGAATAGTCAGTGTCTTTTTGCACCCCTCCTGTTACTTATTACTGATGGGTGACTTCCAATTTAATTTTGTATATATCATAGTCATTTTTATCTTCTATTGTAATGCTTCTCTAAAATGTTTTAGAGCTCTAAATAATTCAAAACTGTAATCGCATAGTTCATCTATTACTTATAATATACTCTTAATACAGAATTCAGAGCTTAGAAGTTTTGCCGTTATAGTACCTCAATGAATAAGAGAGAAAAAGGAGATCTTTTGAGCAGCCCCGTATTAGTTATTTATGATGCCATTATGGTATAATGAATAACTCCTTTAAAGAGGAATAGAATACTCCTTTAAAAATAATTTTACTTACAGTCCTGTGGGGAGATGGCCAGGACACATTGGTGCTGCAGGAGGTTAGACTTGATTTCTGCTCTCAGTCCTACTCATGGTTTTATGTCCTTGCTGTGCCTGGGATTTCTCTAGGTACTATGAACTGCGTAAGAATTCTTCAAGTCTATCCTTTAAAGACTTTCAACTTCTTAAAGACTTGAGGTTTATGTAGATTCATTGCTAGTATAATGGACAAATAAAATATGAAAAACATCCTTTTTGTGAATAAAACAGAAGTATCCTTTTCATCTTTCCTGTATAAAGAAGTCTAGTTCTCAACCTAAGATGAAGCACCTTTAGGTTAATAGATGTCCAGTGGAATAGTAAAGACTTTCCTGTTGGCTTAGTTAGGAATTGCCAAGTAAACTGAGCTGCTGTTTCCTAGTAACAAAGGGTGCTAGCTAGTAATTATTTATGGGAACCCACAGAAGAAATTATCTTGTAGCTAGTAAGAGCGGTTTCCTTTGTTCTCTTTTACTTTCTACTAGACTTTGCCTGTTCAAACTAGAATGGCAAAAAAACACTAGGCTAGTTCTCTGGAGACCAGGATATTTGTTCCAATCTAGAGTCAGTCCCACTGTTGTTTTGGGATGGTTGCTTAATTTCTAAGTCTTGGTGTCTTCATCTGTGAAATGGAGGTATTAACCCTCACCAGTGCTGTTTTTCACATCAAGAATATTGTAAAGTAAAATGAGAAGTGAAAAAGAGGGCTTCACACTATACAAATGCGAGGTATTATTAACAGACATTCAAATTTAGAGGGTATGGCTTATAGGGAGTATTAAATGTGATAATATTAGAAACTTTGAGAAGCCTGGTAACAATGGTCAAATAGTCATTATTACATTACCTGAGCTGTCCAGGAGATAGTGGTCTCAGGTGTTCCAAGGTCCAAATCTTAGGTTTTTCTGCAAGTTCTGTTTTATCTGTTTCCTTTTGTTTTTTTTAGTAAGTGTAAATATATTCACTGCAGAAAATTTGGAAAATATAGAAAATTAAATGGTTCATTTTATTCTAATCTTTTAATGATTTTTTCTTTTTTTTATTAAATTGAGATCATGTAGAATGTTGCTTTTTTCACTTAAAAGTTAATAAGATGAGAAGATATTCGTGATATAGTCTCAAAAATATTTTAATGACCACATAGTCCAAATGTGTCATAATTTAAAATAGTCCATATTGTTTCTAATTTTTCACTACTATAAACATAAATCATAGAGAACTAGAGTAACAGAATGGTTAAAGGCATGGACTCAGGAGCCGGACTGCTTAGATTAGAATTTCAGCACTGACCCTTACTAGCTGTACGACCTTGGGAAAGTTACTTAGCTTCTCTGTACGTCAATTTCCTTATCTGTAAAGTGGAGATAAAACAGTACCTAGCGTAGAGGTCATTAGTAGAGTTAAGTTGGTTAATCTTTGTAAAGTGCTTAGAATAGTGCCTGGCACATACTGAATGCTTTATAAGAGTGTGCTGCTGTTATTCTTATTTGTGCTCCTGAATATTTCTGTAGGCTAAACCGTAGATGCTGTAAACATGTTCACTCTTCCTTTTCAGAAGACACCATCTCACAGACACAAAGAGAAAAAAGGAAAACAAGCCTGTATTTTTCCAGAAAATATAACAAAGAAGGTATCCCTTTCCCAGTCTGAAAACCAGATTTTAAATCTGTTTCAGGTGTTCAACTCTGATGCTGTGTGTTTGTTTAGGTCTTAGCCCCCCACGACGCAAAGCCTTTAAGAAGTGGACACCCCCTCGGTCACCTTTTAATCTCGTCCAAGAAACACTTTTTCACGATCCATGGAAGCTCCTCATTGCAACAATATTTCTCAATCGGACCTCAGGTTTGTGGATTCTTTCCATCTTTATCTTAGTAGAAACAGTGTGAGAAGGAGCACTGAATTGATTAGGAGACCTGGGTTCAAGTTTGACTTTGAGTCTGTGTGACCTCAGGTAAGACCTTCCCCTTCAGCCCTCAGACACTTCGCCTGTGAGAAAGATAGATTAGATGACATCCAACAGCATTCTTAGCATTAAGGAGCAGATTTTCATGTATTTTCTACTTCCAAATTGGTTTTGGTCATCGGTGAAAATTAGTTACTTAACATTCCTCCACCCTGTCATGTATAAAAGCATTTCTTTGTCATTGGATGCTTTCTTTAATGTCATTGGTACCTTGTGTTCTGTATACTTTTAAACTAGTTGTCTGATAATCTGATTATTTAAAAACTAATATCGTACAAGGCCAGGTTTTAGCATAATTTGGACTGTTAACCAAATAGTTGGTTTTTGACTCTGAAAGTGGTTGCTAATTCAGGTAATGCTTCTCATCAGTGGTTTAAAAAGAAAAAAAAAAAAACTCTATATTAGATTTATAGATAAGGAAGTACCTGAACCTAAAATCAGCCCATCTGGAGACTTGTGACCACATAGTTATTTTTACTTCCCAGGCAAAATGGCAATTCCTGTACTTTGGGAGTTTCTGGAGAAGTATCCTTCAGCTGAGGTGGCAAGAACCGCAGACTGGAGAGATGTGTCAGAACTTCTTAAACCTCTTGGTCTCTACGATCTTCGAGCAAAAACCATTATCAGGTTCTCAGGTATTTTCCCATGTACCCAAAGGAAGAAACATAAACCGTGCCTGTTTAAGAGAGCCACACCTTAAACTTTAATGTCCTCTGATGCTACATTAATAGAGCTCATTCAGCTCAAGCACCAAAGGCATTTGAAAACAGTCTCCTTGCCCCAAAGTGCAGTCTCCCACTGACCCAGGCAATAAATCTTTGCCCAGCACTGGGTCAGTCCATGTGGGCAGAATTAGAGGAAGAAGTCAATGAAGCAGAAAGCCCAGTTGATCTCAAGGACATTACCTCTGTCTAGTTAGCACAACACAGAATAATAGTGGTTAGTTAGCTGAAGACAAGCTGTTTAGACAAGGGTGCTACAGGAATTCAGAAAGAAGAGCAATCACAATGGGAGGTTGTTTGTTTCCAATGTTTTGGAAAGAAATTCCAAAATTTCTCAAGGGAAGGAAAGATCCTTTCCTGTCCTTTCTGCTGTTCTCTCTATCCAGTCCCCCATCACCACACATTTAGGGGAAGTATTTTTTCTAGAAGCTGTCCTGATACGTGGGGTGTTGTATTCTCAGATGAATATCTGACAAAGCAGTGGAGGTATCCGATTGAGCTTCATGGGATTGGCAAATATGGCAATGACTCTTACCGAATTTTTTGCATCAATGAATGGAAGCAGGTAAGGCCCACTCCCCGCCATTACATCTCCAGCACATTTTGTCTCTGAGGCAAAGTCAGTCCACTGTTTTGGCTAAAACTATTTCTTGGACACACGTGCTATTAGTCACAACCAATTTTCTTCCAAACTCGAGGGGCAGTGGGTGGCATGGGGTTATTGGCAGCAGGAAGAGGATCCATAGGCAATCCCAAGTCCATAAAGACTCCTCAGTGTCACCTCTCCATGACCTCCAGTGGTTTGTCACTTCTGGCCCTCTTCTTGTCATTCCTATTCATACACTCTCTCTAAGTCTGACATGGATTTCCTTCTGTCACAGTCATACTAGCCTTCCAAAGTACACTACTGAAGGAAAGAGGGCAAACTGGGGCTTGGAAGACAGGCTTGTTGGCTTTCTCCTAGTGGCCTCAGACTATTTTTGTCTGGGGCCTACTTCATCTGCCCATTCTATTAAGTATGCCCAGCCCACAGGCACCTAGATGGCATCCTGACAGCTGGTGGGCACTGCTACACAGCTTGGTACACTGCCTTCTTAGTCTGTGACTCGCCCTACAGCATTTAGCCAGTAGGTCTGGCCAGGCCCATCCGTGAGCCACCATTTATTGGGACCTGAGCAATCCATTTAACTCTCAGAGTCTATAACCTCCTTCTGGAAAATGGTGTATTAATACTTGACTCATCAGCGCCAACACCCCTGGTCGTGGGGAAGATCAGGACTAAATTGGAAAGTATTTTGCAAAGGGTAAAGGATTACTTTAGTGTAAGGTATAATTTTAAACATTTGTGAATCCCGTTTGGTTAAAGTTCTGATTTTCGAGTATAATTATCACAAGGTATGGTTCCTCCACCATTCCTTTAAAAAGCCAATTGAAACAGTGTATTTCTGACTAACTTATGTAAGGCCTCTGTCTCCTAATGTGTTTTATTTCTTCCAGGTGCACCCTGAAGACCATAAGTTAAACAAATATCATGACTGGCTTTGGGAAAATCATGAAAAATTAAATCTGTCTTAAAACTCTTTGAAGTTTTCAAACTCATTTTTTTTTCTTTTGAGGAAGATTAGCCCTGAGCTAACTGCTGCCAATCCTCCTCTTTTTGCGGTGGAAGACTGGCCGTGAGCTAACATCCGTGCCCATCTTCCTCTGCTTTATATGTGGGACGCTTGCCACATCATGGCTTGCCAAGTGGTGCCAAGTCCACACCCGGGATCCGAACTGACAAACCCCGGGCCGCTGAAGCGGAACATGCGCCACCGGGCTGGCTCCCTCAAACTCATTTTTTATACGTTGCTTTGCACTTTGATTCTTAAGAGCTCCGTTAAGCATAACCAACTACCTTTCCAGGCACATAGATTTTAATCAGCCCAACCTAAACCCAATGTATGTTTTCTTAATATGTGTGCCACTGGTAGATCTTTGCTACTGAATGTGCTAGAACGTGTTTTGAGGTTTTTTAAAATAAATTATTATTTGACAACAATCCTAAAAATGTATCTGACTTTTCCAATAATGAAATGTGATTTGAAGGTGAAAAAAACTTTTCTAAACTAGCAATAATACAAAGCAAACTTCTGTCCACCTTGCTCAAGGAAAAAAATAGACTTTTGTTCTCTTTCTATAGAAAATATTACACAGTTATATGAAGAAGCAGTCAAAGTTTTCAGCCAAACATGTAAGAAAAGCTATTACAGGGTGTATTGTCTGATACAGTGCCAGAAGGGGAGAAGATGGCACAAAAAGACTGAGCAGAGTTCAGCTCTGCTGTGTACAGCGTCGCTAGGAGTCAGAATTGACAGCACTAACAACAAATTAGGCAGTTAATTAATAAAAATGTTTTTACTAAAACTAACCACCAAAGAAAAATTAAGATTCTTCTGTCACCATGTGTTCTTGCTGACTCTGCTGCCTTGTAGGAATTGGAGATTTGGCCCCAGCATCCATTCGATAATGTAATGTGAATATCTGCCTGCAGCTCTTGTTTCAGAGTGTTGGCTTCTGACTCGTGCATTTTTACCTTGATCCCTTTGTGAAAACTCAAGCATTTACCCATCTCTCATCCTGCAGCTGGGGGATAGGAGCTTTTAAGCTTTATGCCTGTTTTTTTTGGAAGATTAGCCCTGAGCTAACTGCTGCCAATCCTCCTCTCTTTGTTAAGGAAGACGGGCCCTGAGCTAACATCCGTGCCCATCTTCCTCCACTTTATATATGGGATGCATACCACAGCATGGCATGCCAAGCGGTGCCATGTCCGCACCCGGGATCTGAACCGGTGAACCCTGGGCCGCCAAAGTGGAATGTGTGCACTTAATCTCTGCACCACCGGGCCAGCCCGATATGCCATTTTTAAATACAGGTAGTATAATGGTACAGCTCCAATAGTGAAACATTTACCTTAGAAAGAACTCACCAAACAAAAAAAATCCTTAGTTACTAAGTCTCAATTACCAGTTAGCATTTTAGGGCATAATTTGAAAATTAAATTGATTGAAAAATACATTGGTAGGGGAGCTTCCTTTGTTGTAGGGTGGAATGTGAACAGAATCAGGATACAGTGTGCTGTGGGGCTGGTTGGTTGTGTCCACTTTAGTGAGCGAATTTCAGTTTTTAGAGAGGGATGGATTTTGACCTGAGAACAGGAAACGCCACACACAACCCCAAGCAAACATCCACTTTATAACTTCCTATCAAATTTTTATTTAACAGACATCAAAGTAGCACTTACTAAGTACAAAGCTCTGTGCTGGGGAGGGGCACAAGGATGAAAAGGCTCTGTAGAGACCCTCACAGGGAGAGAGAAAGGCACACACAATAATAAAGGGGTAAGGTGCGAGGACAACATACCCAAACACTGCAGCTAAGAGTCTAGAGGGATCCCTGAAACCCTGGCCACAGCTGGGGTTGGAGGATAGGACAAGCACCAAGCTTAGGGCATCAGGTGTGGCAGGGCCTGCTGTCAAATCCCCTTCCACAACATCTCCATCAGGAGTGGGCTTATATGGACAGAACGGGAGCTCAAGCCGCAGCCAGGCCTGGCTTTTCCTTTTTCCTGCAGGTGAACTTACCTGACTTCTGTACCTGTTTCCTGGTCTCTTTAGAATGGGACACTGGTAACTACCTCTCATGGTTATTATGATTATTAAGTTAATGCGTGCCATTGCCTAAATGGAGCCAGGCCTACAAAGTGCTACATTAATGTGGCCCATGGTGACTACCTCAGGTTGTGGAGAGGGTCACAAAAATAATGCCTTTCAGTAAAGGCAGTACCTTATGCAGACTAAGCACTCAAGTGTTTGGGGTTTTCTTTTAACTTCTTTTATTGAGACAAAAGTCAGATAACAAAATTCATTTAAGTTGTACAATTCAGTGGTTTTTAGTACATTCACAATATGGTGCAACCAGCGTCACTAATTCCAGGACGTTTCCATCACCCTAAACCTCGCACCTGTTAGCAGTCAGACCCAGTGCTCCCCTCTCCCCAGCCTCTGGCAATCACTAATCTGCTTCCTATGTCTGTAGATTGGCCTATTTGGGGCATTTCTTATAAACAGAATCACATATATGTGGCTTTTTGTGCCTGGCTTCTTTCAGGCAGCGTAGTGTTTTGAAGATTCATCTGTGTTGCAGGGTCAGTACTTCTCGTGACTAATATTCCGTCGTATGCATAGACCACGTTTTGTTTACCTCTTCATCAGTTAACAGACATTTCAAGTGTTTATTATTAATACTCTAGTTCTCAGATTCTGTAATTCCAAACCATGTCAAAGCATTCACAGACACTGCCTCTCTTCGGCCCGGACTCATGGGTTCCTGCACCTCCTCTGGACAGGGCAGGCCTGTTCTTGGGATGAGAACACCGAGACCGAAGGATGTGGACACCGGCTGAAGGTCAGCGCTTTGCGGGAAAACCGGGGAGTTACTACCCCAGATTCGGGGGCCACTCGGCTGAACTAAGAAATCCTATCTTTCTCTGAGCCGGAGCTCGGCACCGCCGCCTGGGAGCGGGATGGGCCCGCGCTGCGCCGGAGGCGGGACCGCGCGGGGCGTCCGTCGTCCTGGCAACAGTTGCTTCCAAGCTGGGCAACTCGCGCGTCTCTCGCAAGACTCGGTGTTAGTGTTTTTCTGTTACCCCAACACTCCCGCGCAAGTAAGCACACACACTCTTCAGCACCCGCTCCCAGCGCCGCGCCCATGGGCGATTCCTGTGAAACGTATATGGCTCTGTTCCCGTCGCTGCTCGGTAAGCTCCCGGGAAGCAGCGCCGCCTCCAGGAAGCCCTCAGCCCCATGCGGACGCATGCAGGTGGGGCGAGGGCAAGGGCGGGGTAGAATACCGCATTGTGCCGTACCCGCTCTAGGTGAGGGACCGCCAGGGCGTCGGGGGCAGGTCATGCACATTTCTCAGATTTCCGTGCCAGGGCTGGAGGAGCTGGTCAAGTTGCCTTGGTTTGGGACCAGAAGCTCGACGTGTGTGCCCCGGAAAGGTTTCCAGGCCCTCGGGCTCGACCCGTTTCTCGGCCAGGGATAAACGTGTTGTGTAGTGCAGAAGGGGCATGGAGAAGACCGTCAGTCTTCACACTTTTTGTCGATAGCCTGGTGGGGGACAAGTCCTTGGCAAAGCACTGCGACTTCAGAGGTGAAGGACAGACAGATAAACGGATACTTAAAGAAGAAGGGGTGGATGCTGGGTCCAGGTGTGACACTCAGGAGCAAGAGGTTTGGTAGGTATATAGGATGGGGAGGAACAATTCCAAGGCAGTGGAAGAGATCTTTACACTGGGGCTTAAATTAAGAATACAAGGAGTTCTCCAAGCCAAATGGGAAAGAAAGGCATTCCAGGCCAAGGGAACAGCATGCACAGAGGCCCAGAGACATGATGTCTTCCTGAAACTGCTGGTAGTTTGAATGTCACTGGAGATGAGAGGCGAGAGAGATCAGAAGGGACAAGATCATGAAAGGTTTTATGAACCAGGAGATGGGGAAGCCACTGGGAATAACAAGATTGGGTTGGGAGCATCAGCAAATGCAGAGATTGAATTGTCAAACTCAGAATGTTGGGCGTGGGGAGAGGATCTGAGGTTGTCCCAAATGCACAGACCAAAGATCCTGGGAGGCAAGGGAGAGGGACAGTCTAGAGGGGACTACAGTGTCTTGGGGGCTGATTGGACAGGGGACATGGAGAGAGCAATCAAAGTTGATGCTCAGGTTGGTAGTTAGGGTGACCTGGTAGACTGAGGTATCTTTTTCAAGAGAGGGAAGCTACCAGGAGGACCAATTAGGTGGGGACAGGGACATGAAGACAAGTTCAGTCTTGGGGGTCAAGTTTGAGATCCTTGTAGGCCGTCCCAGTGGAGATGCTTCAGGAGCAACTGTATGTGGAAAGCTGGAGCTAATTCTAAGTCATAAACATTGGTATAGTGTCCTCAGCATACAGAGGGCCACAGAAACACAGGAGTAGAGGAGATTGTTTGAAAAAAAGAAGAGAGCCTAGATGTAGGCCAGGAAGGCACCAGCTTTTAAGAGGTGGGCCGGAAAAGAGGAGCCTGAGAACAAGTGGCCAGAGAGCTAGGATGGAAATTAGGGAGAGATTTGAATCAGAGCCAAGAGAAAAAGGGAGAATCTCAAGAAAGAGTTGAATTGTCTCCAGACACCTGAAGGGCTATCCTGGAAAACAGGGAACAGATGTGTTTTCTGGGGCATCACTGGGGAGGACTAGGACCAAGAGCTGCAAATTCCAGGGAAACAAATTCTGGGTCTGTATAGGGAAGTCTTTTCTAGCAGTCAGAATTAGGCATCCATAATGTGAAGTAGAGAACTCCCTGTCACCGGAGGTATACAAACAGAGGCAAAGTCTGCCAGGGGCACTGTAGAAAGAGCTGCCTGACCTGAGCAGGCAGTGGGACTAGTTGGTCTCTGAGAGCTTTTCTCACCAACCCCTCAGGACTATTTTCACACAGTCTCTACCCACAACTTCAACGTGACCTCTTTTATTCTAAGAGCCCACCTCATTTTCCTGTCAAAGGACATGAGACCCCAAAGATCACTAGGGTGCAAGCTCCATGGTGTGGTGGGCACGCAACCTTCGAGAGGGTGGTCAGGGGTGACTTTGAAGGGGGTGACACTTAGGCTGAGAGCTATAGGATAGAAGGACTTGGCCAGGGAGGAAACTTGGGGAATCCCATGCCCTTCAGGGGGCACAGCAAATGCCAGAACAGGACGGACAGAGCTGGGAGAGTTGAACAGGGAGAAAGGAGGCAGCGCAGCCAGAGCAAAGCGAGCGAGGGGGCGGGAGGACCTGAGGGAGGAGAGGGGAGCGGGGCCCCAGCAAGGGTAGCTTTGTAGGCCATCGTAGAGGGGGTTATTTATTCTAAGAGCACCCAGAAGCCCTTTCCAGGGAAGCCACTGAAGGGTTTCAGACGGGGGGTGAGGGGGAGGAGTGAGTCTTCTGGCTGAGGGCGGATCATCGATTTGGGAGAGGGCACAAGTGGAAGTGGCGAGACCTGTGAGGAGCATATTGTGAATGTTTCCATGGTCTGTAGGGTAAAGTTCAAACCCTTTAACTTGGCATTTGAGGTGACTCCAACTTTGTTTCCTATTAACCTCCTCTTTCACACACAGTAGGCTTCCAACTTGTGGAATGATTTAATGACTCTAAAATCCCCGAACCCTAACACCCACCTTTCGCCATGCTGGTCCTTCTACCCCTTGATACCCAACTCACTGTTGAAGGTGCATGTCAATGCCTCCTCTTCCATGACGACGTCCTGGGTTCCTCCATCAGCGCTTCTCCCCAGACTGAGAGCATCTAGTTACCCCTCTGGTTAGTCCACCTTGTTCCATGTCAGTGCCCTGCAGTCAGGCACTCAGCCTCGTTTGGATCTGCACCTGGCCAGTGCCAAGCACTGGGTGATTCTCAGTAAATGCTCGTTTGATGAATGACTAAATCCTCAGTTGTACCCAGCATCTTGTCCTCAAGGAAAGGATAAACGGATTACTGAGAAGTGCTCACTTCTGTCCACATTGATGTATACTCATTATTTTCTGACTTGAAAGGAACACACAGGCATCATAAAGAGACCTAACAAATGTTCACTTTGTGCCAGGCTAGGATACTGGGGATACACGGTAACTAAGACACAGTCCTTGACACTGGGAAACTCACTGGCTGTTGGGAAAGAAAGACTCAGAAAGCATCTTCACCCAGAAAAATATGGTAAATGCTATGATGGGGCTGAGCATGGGGGCTGTGGGGACCCAGAGGGGGCACGAGGGAGGGGTTGAGAAGGCTTCACGGGATGGTGCTGCCTGAGCTGAGTCTCGGAGTATCAGTAGGGAATAATCAAGTGAAGCAGAGGAGAGAGAAGAACATTCTAGAGAGAGAAAACAGCACGGTTTGGGGACAGCAGGGCTTGGGGGACCAATCACACTCAGCTCAGTTTGGGTACAAGTACAAGGAGAGGCAGAAGTAACTAGAGAAGGAGCCCATTAGAGAGGCTAGCAGGGGTGGGTGGGTCAGGTGGAGCCAGGTTAAGGAGACTGAACTTTATTCTGGAGGCCGTTGGGAGTAAAGGAAGGGTTTTAAGCAGGGGAGTTTGGTTTTAGAAGGAAAATGATGGTGACAATATCTTTAATAATATTGTATCCTTTCTGAATTTTAGAACACTCCCATATCTATTTTTCATTTGATCTTCATAATAGCTTCAGGAGGTAGCTAGAGCAGAATTTACAACATTTTAGACATGAAAGAATGAGACTCTGCGGGATTAGGTGACACCTTGGGGTACTATCAAGTAATTGCTAAGAGCTGAGCTCTGGGGCCAGGCAAACCAGAGTTCATGTCCCAGCTCTGCTACTAATCAACCATGTGACCTTGGGCCTCTCTGGGCCTTAGTGTCCTTATCTGTAGAAAGGGTATAATCATAGAGCCTGCCTGTTACGTCTGATCCATTTGTCATTCACTCTTTCATCAAATAATTACTGAGCTCCCACTACATGTGGGCACTGTGGAGGTGCTGGGGCTGCAGCAGGGAACGAGAGATGAGGTCCTGGTTCCCAGTCTTCTGGGAAGAATAAACATCAACCAAGTGATTGCACCAGGGGTTTCAAGCACAAATGTCTGCCTGAACCAGGCACTTAATGAGTGAACTGAGCTGCATGTGAGATAACAGGGAGTGGTGGGGACTATGGCAAGCTGGAGAGAACATGCCCCAGCCTAAAGTAACTCAAATTGGAAAATTTTAAGGAATGTGTCAATCAAAATAGGACCCCACACCTCATTCAGCATAAGGGCTGCCAGTTTGCAAACCTTGATTTATATACTTGTGACAAGTGGTCTGAAGGAAAAGTATAGGTTGTATTATGCAGAGATAACATGAGGATATAGCAGAGCCTGGGAACTGGGTAAGGAGGAGTGAGGAGGGAATGGAGCACTCCCGGCAGAGGGAGCAGTATGTGCAAAACCCTGAGGCAGGATGGGGCTTGATCCTTCAGGGAACACAGAGAAGGTCACGGTGTCCAGGATGTAGCAAGGAAAGATACGCAAGCGATGAGGCAGGAAAGGTTGGCAGAGGAGGGTCATGTGACTTTATTTTGGGAGCTCTGGAAAGTTATGGAAGGGTTTCAAAATGGGTGAAGGGTGAATATATACAAAAACAATAATGGCACACTTACTATGAACAAAGCAACTCTCAAATGGGCTGATTCTATATATCTCCACCACTTGGAAAGGTAGGTACCATCATTGTCCCTGTTTACAAGTGAAGAAACTGAGACACAGAGGATAAGTGACTTGCCCTAGATCATGCAGCCAGTAAGAGCAGGGCCAGGACTCAGACCACAGCATTCTGGCTCCAAAGCGTCTATTCTTAATGGTGTCACACTGCATTGGACGATCAGACCAGATCAGAATGGCATTTTAAAAAGATCATTCTGGAGCCGGCCCTGATGGCCTGGTGGTTGAAGTTCAGCGGGCTCCACTTCTACAGCCCAGGTTCACTTCCCAGTCATAGAACTAACCCGTCTGTCAGTTGCTATGCTGTGGCAGCAGCTCACATAGAAGAGCTAGAAGGACTTACAACTAGGATATACAACCATGCACTGGGGCTTTGGGAAGGAAAAGAAAGAGAGGAAGATTGGCAACAGATGTTAGCTCAGGGCAAATCTTTCCCTGCAAAAAAATAAAAATAAAAAAGATCATTCTGATTGCCAGCAAGGAGCATTGGGGTGTGGGGCGAGGGGGTGGAGGGCAGGTGGAGTAAGAGTAGAATCTGAGAAGATTAAAACCCAGGTGCCCTGATACCCAGCCTGGTGCTAAAGCAGTTTTCCTTCCTGACTCCTTTAGTCCTCTTCCTGAAAGGAATTCACATTTTAATCTTCTTCCCCCAAGGGATCTGCCAGTCTAAGATCTCAGTTGACGATGATGAAAATGCCAACAAGGACCCTGTCTTCGATCCTGAGCCGGTCATTGCCCACTGCTTCAAGCAGTTCAAGCAGGAGAACTTCCACCTGCCTCAAAGCCGCCGGTGGATCATCATCTTGTCTCAAAAAGAGGATTCACTGCCCGTCCACCCCATGCCCCCACCCGAGGCTCCCCCACAGCCCATCTCCAGCTTCAAACCCCTGGAAGCCGAGGACCTCCGAGAGCAGCCGGAGGACACGAAGACCTGGCTGAGCCGGAGGCTGAAACTTCGGCAGGACCTGGAGTCATTTGGCAACACAGAGAGGTGTCTACAGAACAAGCCCAGCCTCACGCCTTCAGAGGCCAAGGTCTTACAGATGATCCAGAAGGAGCACGAGGCCCAGTCGATGGCCCACGTGACTACTACCAAAGCCACCAAGGTAAGCAGCCCCCTTTGCCAGATGAAGATGCTGAGCGGGTTAGGAGCATGCTGTCATTTCTGTCCCTTGGATTAGGCAGGATGGGGACTGTTCATCCCATTTCACAAAGCAGCAAACAGAAGTTTGGGAGAAGAAGGGGAGGTGAACTTGTTACCTATTGCTGCATGACGAATACCCCAAAGTGACTGGAAGCCACAAATGTTTATCATCTCACTGTTTCTGAGAGTCAGGAATCTGGGAGGAGCTGCGCTGGGTGGCTCTGGCTCAGTCTTTCATCTCAAGATGCTGGTGTGGGCCACAGACACCTGAAGGCTTGACCGGGGCAGGAGGCTCCGCCTCCAGGCTGGCTTGCTCACACAGCTCTTGGCAAGAGGCCTCAGTTCCTCGCCACATGGACCTCTCCACAGGGCTGCTTGAGGGTCGCAGAGTGAACCATCCGAGAGACAGAAGGAGGAAGCTGCAGTGCCTCTTATGACCTCATCTCAGGACATCTCAGTTTCAGAAGATTTAGAGTCACTTCCACCAAATCCTATTTGTCAGAAGCAAGTCATTAAGCACTCTTCACACTCGAGTGGAGGGAATTAGGCTCCATCTTAGAAGGGAGGAGAGTTGAAGAATTTGTGGCTGTATCTTAAAACCACCCTAGAAGGGACAGTGCTTGGCATTCCATGTGTGGGCCATTTTTAAATGCTTACTGTTCATTCATTTGTTCACTGACATAAGTTTGCTAAGGGCCTTTATGTGCCAAGCAGGCGCTCACAAGGCTAATGTGCAGATCACAATTGTGAGCTTGGAAGAAAAAGGAGGATCTCCCTTTCTAAAATATGGAAATAGAAGCTCAGTGAGGCCAATAGATTTTCCAGATGCATAGAGAGAGATATGGCAGTCAGTACCAAAAGCTTCATCTTCCAGCTGCTCGCCTCTCTGCCACATTTCCTTGCAATACAAACACTTGAAATTTCTCCCAGTTCAGGTGAAGCTGGGATAAGAGGTCACATAACTTGGGCTTAAACCCAGCTCTGCTATTTCCTAGCTGTACGATCTGGGGCTCAGTTTGCCTCATCTATTAAATTGGGACAACCATTGTGCCTACTTCCTAGGTTTGCTGTGACGTCTAAATGGATTAACTTACATAAGGTGCCTAGGACAGTGCTGGGCATATAGTGGGCAAACTCGATAAATGTCTGCCATTTTTAGTATTATTTCAGTCTCCTTGGTGTCATTTGGGTTGGCCCAAAAACTTTAGAGTCAGTCTTTGGTGTGATCATAGTCAAAACTCAGATTTCATGGATCTAACACAGAATTTCCTGCCAGCAGCACAGCATCTGTGAATGAGCACTGGACTTGGGTTAGGGACCCAACTCTACTGCTTACCTGCTGTGTGACCCTGGGCAAGTCACTTCACTTCTCTGAGCATGTATCCTCATTTGTAAAAAGGGAAAGTAATATCTGATACCGAATTCACAGCATCGTTTATTCATTCAGCAAACAATTACTGCCTACCTGCCTAGGGCCTGGAGCTTTCTTCAGTACAAGAATGGAAGTGGGGGTGTGTAGCTAAATATAACATGGTGTTGCTCTCAAGGTGTTTACATGTTAGTGGGGAAGGCAGACACATCAGATTGATGACTGTAGTTGTTCTGCTCCACGTCCACCTGGGTGAGCGGTGTGGGATAGGTTGCCGAGAGACCAAAGAGAAGACCCAGAGACAGCCAACGAGACATGTGGGTTTATTAGGAGTTACTTACAGGGAAGGTCCAGTGGCGGCCGGCTGGACAGCAACGTGCACCCACTACCATCCCCTGAGAGGAGCTGGCTTAAGTAGGCAGAGGAACAAAGGCTGCACGCTTGCCAAGGGAGATCACCCCTGTATGACCTGCATTCCAAGGACCAGAGACCTCCACACCCCGGACAGCCTCTGTGTTCCTCCGACTGCGAGGGTCTCTGCACTGACTCTCCCACGAGAAAGCTGGATTGGCCAAGCCCAGGACTGTTATTGTGTGTGCGTGAGTGCTGGCGCACAGCCCATACAGTAGCCTCAAGGACACATGGTTTTTAAAGGGGCACGCCAGCTAATGCCCCTGCACCAGTACAGTTTACTACGGGTCATTAATAGAGGTGAGTCCCAAACACTCCGGCAGCACAGACGGGCTAAAAGCTAGGGAGCAGGAAGGCTCTTTGTAAATTGTCATGTGCTGCGCCAGGTAAGGGGGTAGTATTCCGAAATATTCCCAATCCCGGGAGCTGGGGGAGGAGCAGGCTCTGGACAGGTGTGGAGAGAAAGAAGGTGTTCTAGGCAGGAGGGCCAGCAGGAGCACAGGCTGGGAGGTGGCGGAGGCGGGAGCCCCATCTGGCTCCAGGCCGGGGCCCATATTCTGGTGCACTGATCCCAGTGGGAGTATAGTAGGGACTAGTCTGACAAGAGGGCTGTGAATAAGAATGAAACTTTAGTTCTCCTGTTGTCCCAGCCTCCTGTTTCTGATGGGAAAACTGAGGCCCCGAGAAGCAGTCTCCCAGGCGTTCTGTGGCAGAAGGCGGCTGCCCCAGCGTTGCCGGCTCTGATGCTCTCCGCACTCCATCTTGCCGTCTGTTTAGAGCTGCTCAGCCTCTCTCTCCTGTTTTTCTCTAGCTCTGGGATCACGTGCCTTCAGCCTGCCTCCCCTGAACTCTCCCCTCTGTCCCATTCTCTTGCCTCTTTCAGAAGAAAAGCCTCCGACCCCGCCGCCGACAGGTGCCCCAGCTCCAATTGCCCAGGCCCTCCGCCCTGTTGGCCTTGTACTCCTACCTGCACAGCCGCAAGATCAAGATCCTGGAGATGTTTAACAAGGTGGACCGGGGAGAGAACCCGATGGTCTCCAGGGAGGAGTTCATCGTGGCTCTGAAGGCGGTGAGTGCCCCCACTCCCTGCGGGCTGGCCTCAGTGGGGAGGGCGTCCGTGCACCCCCCTCCTCAGGTCCTGGACCAATTGAAAAGTAGACACAGGGAGCTCAAACTATCAGCCTCATTACTTGTAAAGCCAGATTGGAAAATATGGCTTTACCTGTGGCCACATCAGACGCCTAAAATGACCCCTGCTAGGGTCTAACCTTGAAAGGCCCTACCTGAGTGGAAAGTCTGCAGAGCCAACCCCATAAACCAGCCAGTGGCCTGGGGAATCACAATGTTGCCCATAAGACCCCAGAACTGAGCACAGATTGCTGGGCCTTCAATCCTGCCTCTAGAACGTTCTAGAGCTTCTCCAACTGTCAGTGGCATACGAATGACATTAAAATGCAGCTTCTGACTCAGTACCTCTGTGTGAGGCCCAAGATGCTGCATTCTAACAAGCTCCCGGTGATGCCCATGGTCCACAGACCACACTTTCACTGGCTATTCAAAAATTTAGATTAATTACAACTAAATAAAATAGAAAATCCAGTTCCTCAGTCACACCAACCACACTTCAAGTGCTCAGTAGTCACACGTGGTGAGTGGTTCCTCTGTTGGACCACGCAGATGTATAACATTTCCATCATTGCAGAAAGTTCTGTGGATCTAGCAGGTGTCCACTAACCTTGGCCCAGGAGTCAAATCAAGTCAGCCTCCTGGTTTTGTAAATAAAGTTTTATTGGAAGACAGCCACACTCATTTGTTTGTGTATTGTCATGGCCGCTTTCATTCCATGATAGCAGAGTTGAGTAGTGATGACAGAGACCGTATGGCTCACGGAGCCTAAAATATTTACTATCTCACCCTTCCTAGAAAAAGTTTGCTGACCCCTGGTCTGGATGAATTAAGCTTTTATATAAGCACTGGACTTGGGTTTAAACCCTTTAAAAAGAACTCTAGGTGGCTGACTGCTACATATTTTATGGTTTCAAATCATCACTGGTTTTCACACTATCATTTTATGACATGGAATTGTCTGAACAACATTTCAAAGCACTTAAAACAGAGGAGGTGGGGCTAGGCTGGCAAGGCGTTGGCCGTCCTGGCAGGACGTTTGGTTTGCAGCCTGCCCGCCTTGGGGGCTTCTCTTCTCTCCTCAGGTGGGAGTCCCTCTGACCCACCAGGAGGTAGAGGATGTTGTGGTCTATCTCAGCTCTCTGGGGAAGCACAATAGCGTCACCTTGGATATCCTGGCCAGCACCTACCGGCAGTGGTGTTCGACTGAGCAGAGAAATGCCCTGCCCACTACAAGAGAGCGTAGGTATCCCGTCCCCCGCCCCATGCCTCTGCCTCTCCCCCTCTTGGAGCAAGCCTGGTGGAGGCAGCCCTGGCCCACTTCCTGAGTGTGTTCCCAACTTTGGCTTACTGTGGGTGGGCCAAGCCTCTGGAACTTCCAGGCCCAGGGATCAACTAAGGAGTAGATACTCTCTGGAGTGCCCAGCTACTGTGTCCATTCAAAGATGAATGAGGCCCAGCCCTTGTCCTTAATGTAGGATTCTCAAAGGGTGGTCTCAGTCCACCAAAGCCCACCTGAAAGGGTGACCCAAATGGCAAGCCTTTCCATTTGTATGTGGGTCCGAGGCCTTCTTACTATTAATCTATACCTTATTGATAAAAAGGTAACTGAAATTCAGAAACCAGAATTAGCACCTGTTTAGAGTTTACTGGAAAGTTTACTTTGGTATTTTACTATCAGGGATATTAGTAGAGCGGCTGTGAACAGTTGTATAGGTTGTGCACAGCTCAAATTCCATTTGCCAAGCCATGTGCTTGTGGAGCTACATCTGTCCAGACGAAGCACAGAGGCAAATTAGAAATGGACTAGCCATAGCTCTTGCTATGAATTTACTGTACAACACAAGGGTGCATCATGTTTCTTTATAGTTTAGTGCCATTGTTGTTGTAAAAAAACAAAAATTTGAACAGCTGCAGATAAAATTAAAGCCCTGTCTTGACCATCACCCACGATTCCAGAGCCCTCCCCAAATATAACCACATCTTTCTTTTTCTAAATCAAACAAATCTTGCTTTGCCCCCACTCACCAGGTGGGCAGGAATCAAATTTCAGACATGTTTGGGGGCAGTGCTCCTCGTCCTCCCTGTGGTCATGTAAGAGCCCTGGGGAAGTAGTGAGGGGTCTCCTTACATAGGTGAAGATCTGGGAGGGCCCTGGCATTCACGGCCACACTGGGCTGGGTGCTCAGCACCCTCACTCGCTGGTTCTTTTGGAGACAGCAGGCAGCTCGAAGAGAGAGTCCATTCCTCCGTCCCCTGGAGCTTCACCTACAGCGCAGCGCGCAGATTTCCAACCTGTAGCCTCAGCAAGCCCTGGTGCATCACCCCCGGCAGGGTCTCCACCCACCTCAGAGTCCCAGGGAACACGAGTGCCCCTACAGTTGCACGTGTCACCACCCCCACAGTAGTAATCACCCTTCGTGTCCAGCACATCCTCAGGGCTGCCTCGAGCTGGGCATCATTTCCCACCCATGCTCTTTTTGCCTTGTCGTCATAAATTACCAGAGCTCATCCTTGTCCTTGTAGTTGGCTGCAAGTCATTTGGTGAATGATCACAGAGCATCACGATGCATATTTTCAACAAACGTATTGGGAGCCTATTATTTCCCAATAAATAGATTTGAAGCCAAGAGGACGTATTTGCTTGAATGGTGCTATCTCAGGATCATCACTGAGTTCTTTGTTCCTGGAGAGCGGCAGTGGGTAGGGTAAGCGGACTCGGGTATTTCTTTCTTGCCTTGCCTAAAGGGGCAGCAGCATCAAGAGTCTGGGCATCCAGCTCACAAGAGAGAAGGCGGTAGCAGTTGAGGTTGCCCTCTGTGGGCTGGGTAGCTTTACCCACGGCATTGGCTTGATTTATCCTTCAAGTCCCCGGAGCTCAGGGCTACTATTCGCACTTTACAAGAAGGAAGCTGAAGCTCAGAGAGGCTGACCACCTGTCCACAGTCTCAGAACTAGAAGGTGGCAGGGCCAGGATTTCGAGTCAGCCCAGGACAATGGAGGCCTGAACCAGGGCAGGGGCAATGGGATGCTTTCATTCATTCAGATCTTTGTTGAGGACCTAGTATGTGCCGGACACACAGTGGTGAAGAAGCCATTGCCTCCGCCTTCAATGAGCTTCCACGTAAAGGGTCAACCAAAATGGTGTCCAGTAGCATTGGCTGCTTTGAAGACAATGAGACAGAGTGAGGGGGTGGGGTCAGGGGAGGCCTTTCCGAAAAGCAGCCCCTGGAGTTGACAGCTGAGCGGCTGATGAGGAGCCTGTCTAGGGAAGGACACCCTAGGCAGATGCAGCTCCAAAGGCAAAGGCCCTGAGGTGGAAAGTCTTCAGGGACAGAAAACAGTTTGGGTGGCTGGGTGCGGTGAGCGAGGGGCGTGCTGGAGGAGACGGGTCAGGTGGATGGTCGGCTGAGGCCAGGTCCTGCAGGGCCTTGCAGACCAGCGAGAGGATTCTGAGTGCTGTGGGAAGCCAGAAGAGAGTTTTAAGCAGAGGAATGAGGTGATCTGGTTTACATTTTTTGAAAGTCCTATTTACTGTTTGGAGGAAACAAGACTCTAGAAGAGGAGAATGGCAAGAGGAAGGCTGGGTCCGTGGTGGAGGTGAGGGAGGCCATAGCGGAGCTGGAGAGAAGGGACACCTTCAAGGTACAGCTCAGATGGCACTGACCAGACATGCAGGGAGGGACCAGAGGGATGGCCTGTGCCTGTTCGGTGACATTGGGTAACTGCTTGACGGATTCCACGGCTGGGCACACTCTCAGTCCCTCCTTCTTTGTCTCTTTCCTGTGACCCTAGATTATAGATCTGCTAAGAACAGAGTTTCCCCACAGAGTCTGTCCAAGAAGCAGAAGGTGAGTTTAGTCCCAGAGCCTCCCAAGATGGATCTACTGACTGTGCCAGTAGTCGACACCCAGAAGGAGGCGCGGCCCATGACCCTAGAGGAGATGGAGGACGTTGGCAAGCGATACCGTGAGCGGAAGCGGAAGAACAAGGTACTCCCGGCCGATGAGGGAGGGCATGGGGCTTGGCAATTGGACAGGCTTGGGTTCAAGTCCGCTGCCCCTGCTCCACCTTCTAGCTGGGAGAACTCTTGGGAGCAGGCTTCTCTCTGTTCCCTCATCTGTTCCTTCATCCGAATAATAAAAACAATACCTCCCTCACAAGGTTTCTGTGAAGATGAAATGAGATATTGTTTCTGAAAGTATAGAGCTCTCCTCCTCCCATTCTTTAATTACGACTTTGCATCCTGACACCGGGGGCGCAGTCTTCATCACGGCTGGAATCCAAGGGCCTGGCAGGGGGCCTGGCCCTGAGTAGGCGCTCCAGAAATGCATGACTAGTGAAGGAAGGAAGAACCGATGGTGCGAATTAATTCCTCCAATAAGTGTTTGTTGAGAGCTTGTGATGTGCCTGGCACTCTTCTAGGTGCTGCCGAGGACAAAACACCCCTGCCCTCAAGAAGCTGAGACTAGTCAGGGAGGCAGACAATATTAATATAATACTATATATAAATACATATGTTTATATTATATATATGAATACATAATAGATGTTAGGTATTGCTAAGTGCTATATCAACTAAGATCTGATTCAGTTGCAACGACAAGAAAACCCACAATGTTAGAGCGGGATTGGCAAACTTTTCCTGTAAAGAGCCAGTTCATCGGTCACTCAGGGAGCGGAAAGGCCCCTCTGCTCACTTCCTGCATGTCTGGTCAGTGCCATCTGAGATGTACCTGGAAGGTGTCCCTTCTCTCCGGCTCCACTATGGCCTCCCAGTGCAGGCTGCCTCCTCCATCACCTGCAGTGTGGACCTAAAACTTTCCTTGTAAATGTCTGAGGTGTTTTGGGCCGTATTGTCTCTGTTGTAACTACTTGACTCTGCCATTGTAGCACCAGAGCAGCTCCAGACAATACCTAAATGATGAGTGTTGCTGTATTCCAATAAAACTTTATTTATAAGAAATACACGGGTGGGCCAGATTTGGCCTATAAGCTGTACTTCACTGCTTCTGGTGTTAGAAGCTTGAAAAGGATAGATTTTTCTTTCCTTTGTAAATAAATAAATAAGAAGGCCAAAAGTGGCTACACACTCCTCAGCCCTCTCCTACGTTGCTCTGCCATCCTTAACGCGTGGCTTCCACCTCATAGTCACAGAGGGCTGCACCTAATTTAAATTCCCATGCAGCCAAACGCTTGAATGTGAGGTTTCAGTAGGATGCCTCTAGGGCTTCTACACTGTACTGTACCGTATATATTATCCAATCACGTGTGCATCCGTGTACAAGGCTGTGCACATGGAACTGCATCACTGACCATTCAGGTGCTCTTCAGGGCTAACCTTGACCATGTGTGATTTTTCTCCCGAGTCACTGACTTCAGAACCTGAACTTCGGTCCCACGGTGCATGCTTTGCTGTTGCCCATTCTGGCGGCCTCCTGGGGAGAGGTAGATGAGGCTCTCCATCTGCCTTCCAGCCAGGAGGAAAGAGATAAGGCGGAGAGAAGTGTGTGCCATCCCCTATTCTCTTTGCAGCTCAGGATCCCCCCCATCGAGTACGCGGAGCGGTGCCGCCTGGTGCGCAGTGGGAACAAGTACTTTGACAAGCACTGCCTCCCATCCACCATCCAGGGGGAGATGAACGAGTTCATCAACATATCCCGCAGGGACAGCTTTCTGGTCTACCTGCAGTGCTCGAAGCTCTGTGAGTACTACGGCCTCCCGCTGACGGAGGACATCCTGGTGAAAGGTAAGGGTCTTGGTGGCTGGCCCTTGGAAGGATGCCTGGGGGGCCCAGAGCCCGGCCAAGGGTGGTGTCCACCTGAGGCTTGTCCTTCCCCGGTGATGTGCACCTAATCAAGCTGCTATGGCCTGTGGTGGGGACACTGGGAAGAAGGAGGGGAACAAGGGGAGGAACAGCCCAGCCTGTTTTGCTGTTAGATGAGATTTCTAATCTTGGAGGTCCACAGGCTCCATAGGCCTGGAGGTCTGGGTTCCCCAGCTGAGCTTGGTCAGCTGGCATTCTAGAGCAGGAAGCTCCAAGGATAGGAGTTTTGGGTGAGGGAGCCCTGAGGTTGAGCATAAAGGAACAATGCCAATTTCAGAGGGTGATTTGATAGAAGCGGTTTATTGGGCATTTCCGAAACCACCTCCCTGGGCCAGGTGTGTTTCTTGATTCTTCGGCAACACTGAGGTAGGAATGTACCAGGAGACACTTTCTGCTGAGGCCCTTTGCTGTCTGCTCAGACAACAGGACTCAACCCTGAGATTTCCACACTCTGCTTGGGGGAAGAATTGTGTTTTCATATATCCAAGCAGATCTCAACCCTCCACATCTCTGGGTAGAGTGTGTGCTTCTGAGAGATGGGGGTGAGGGAGTGCCCAGCCCTCGATGACCACGTAGCAATGCTGGCATCCCAGGGTTATGAATTTATAAATTTAATGGGCAGGTCCCTTTCTGTGCTTTTTTTCTTTTTAAAGATTTTATTTTTTTCCTTTTTCTCCCCAAAGCCCCCCGGTACATAGTTGTATATTCTTCGTTGTGGGTCCTTCTAGTTGTGGCATGTGGGACGCTGCCTCAGCGTGGTTTGATGAGCAGTGCCATGTCCACGCCCAGGATTCGAACCAACGAAACACGGGGCCGCCTGCAGCGGAGCACGCGAACTTAGCCACTCGGCCACGGGGCCAGCCCCCCCTTTCTGTGCTTTAAAAACATGAAAGAGCAAGCTGCACTTGAGGGAAGAGGTTTTCCTAGGAACTTTCCAGGAAGGAACTGTGGCCATACTGGGAAATGTGGCTTTTTGAGAAAGTACAGAGAGTGGTGTGACTTACCTGAGAACAAGAGTTAGCAGTCACGATTATTTCCATCTTTTTCCCAAGAGGGAGGGAAACAAGTGCTAAACGTATAGGGCCTTGGGCCTTGTATTAGTCAGCTAGGGCTGCGTAACAAAATACCACAGACTGGGTGGCTTAAACAACAGACATTTATATTCTCACAGTTCTGAAGGCTGGAAGTCCAGAGCGAGATGTCAGCAGCGTTGGTTTCCGCTGAGGCCTCTCTCCTTGGCCTACTGGTGGCTGCCTTCTTGCTACCTATTCACATGGTCTTTTCAGTGTACACACATATACCTGGTGTCTCTCTGTGTCTGCAAATTTCCTCTTATAAGGACACCAATCAGATTGGACTTGGACCCACTCTAACAGCCTCATTTCAGTTTGATCACCTCTTGAAAGGCCACATCTCCAAATACAAATTCTGAGATTCTGGGAGTTATGGCTTCAACATGTGAATCTGTGAGAAAAGAATTCAGCCCCAACAGCCTGTACAGGGGGATGTGGCCAAGGGCCTTCAGGAACACAGGCCAACCAGCCTAAATGATCATTGCCGCCCGCACCTGCTGCACACCCCTCACTTGGGTGACCGCTTGCTGCCCACCTGGGCCAGGAGGGGATCCTGCAGCTCTGGACGCTGACTTTTCACCAAGTCATCCTTTCTTCCTCCTTCCTCCTTCCCTGCTTGTTTCCATGCCCTGGTCTTGGCTAGTGGTGGAACTGCAGTGGTGTCTTATAACACATAGGCAGGCTTGCCTGGCACCCCCACTGCTCCTGTGGGTTAGGTCTTTCCTCTGGATGTGCCCCCTCTGTCCCCCTCAGAATATCGAGCCACTACTGATTCTCTCCACCATGGCTTTTGCCAGCTCCTGGGTCCATTCATGGGTGAGCTTCACCTTCTGTAGGATCTCACATTCATGGGCACACAGGAGCATCCGTGGGTGGGCTTCCTTTTGCTTCTGATTGGTCTGGATGGAAAACACTCTAGTCCACCGCTGTCCTGGCCACTATCCATTGGCTGTCTTTATGATAGATGCCTGATCTGCTGTGGGCAAAGAAACACAAACATCAGGTTCCCAGGTCTGTGTTCTAGACTAGAGCTTGAGGGGCTCCAAATCCAGGCCTCAAGCTCATGGACCAGAATTCTAGAACATCAAGGCATTTCCCCTTTCCCCAGTGAATATAGCTTTATTGTTTTTCTCCCCCTTCTTTTATAGATAATACTTGGACACTTAATTTTTTTTCTTTTTTTTCTGAAGAAGATTCGCCCTGAGCTAACATCTGTGCCAATCTTCCTCTATTTTTGTCTGTGGGTTGCTGCCATAGCATGGCCTCCAATGAGTCGTGTAGGTCTGCACCCAGGAACCAAACCCAGGCCACCAAAGTGGAGTGCACCAAACTAACCCACTAGGCCACAGGGCTGTCCCCCTTAAATTTTTTTAAAGACATAAAAATAAAAATCCCCCCAGCCTGAGTTGACCACTGTTAATATTTTAGTGATCATTCCTTCACAAACCTCTTTTTCTTTTCCATTTACACAAAATTATTTAAGTCATTTTAAAAAATCATGTATATATATATATTTTAAAAGGTGGTTAAAAAAATCACGTCTACCTTTTTAAAATGTTGATGTTGCACAGCTCCCCCTCCCCTCTCCTTTCTTCTCATCTGCACAGTCCCTGCCCTCCCCCCAAAGAACCAACATGAATAACCTGGAGTGTAACCTTCCATCACCTTTTCTAGAACATGAGCTCTTCGTGTGTCACCATCTTAGGACAAGCACTGCTCAATAGTTGCAGGAAAATGGAAACTTTGGCCCAGTGTTCCTTCTATTCTGCAGTTCTTAGAAACTTCTCCCAAGGATATCTGTGAGACTGATTCTAGACAGGGAGGAAACTGCCATCAACTAGGTCTGAGTTAACCTAGTGGAGTCTTGGGTGCATCCTCCACTCCTCCTTCAGGGACTCCTGACCAGGATGCCCCCTGCAGGGCTGTGGTGCAGGATGGTGCCTGCTCCGTCCTTATTGCACCCAGGCCTCCAGGCCTTTGCCGACCTGGTTGTAAAGAAGCTCCCTCCTCTGTAGTCCACTTAGCAGTACTGTACCAACCCCGTTTCCTCATATCACACTATAGTTACATGCCATGTCCCATTGGGGGAAGATAGGGATAGAGTCTAAGGGACCCTCTGCGCTATTTTTGCAACTTCCTGTGAATCTGCAATCACTTAAAATAGAAAGTTTAAAAAAATGTATATAAGAAAAAAATCTTTTCAAACAAAAATGTGAATTTATTTTTTTAAAAAAGAGCCCCCATTTGCCCCAAAACCTCAGGGAGGGGAAGGGTTTTGGGCTGACAGAACGCATTTCTCTTGCTGCACACAGCCCTGCTGTACCCAGGAGACAAGATCATTTTCTGGAAGGATCAGGTGCTCCCACTCCGGCAGCCAGGAGGCTACTACTCAGACTGGAAGATCTTCGGTCCGAATCTGGCCCTGCTCAGGTCCCAGGGCTCCAGGGCACCTGTGGTTAAGAAGACTGACAAGCTGAGTGTCAAACCCCCTTCTCCCATGCTATTTGCTCCTGCCCCACTGCTGTCCCTTCACAGGGGCTGGGATGCTGACATATTTGGGGTGTCATGTTGTGCCAGTGTCTGTTTCCTAACCTGGCATGTCCAACCCAACTGGTCAGCACGGACTGGCCAGTCCCCAGTGTCACCCCTGGCACATGTCTCAGGATGGTGGCCTCCTTGCCTCAGCGCCCCCACCGCTACCCTCGTAACCAATTCCTACATGATCTCAAGCTCTCTGGAAAATGTTAAAAAGAGGGCCTCCTTAGAGAAACAGAGGAGGCCCGTTCACAGATCATGGGCCAGGTGTCAGGGGCCCTGCAGAGGTCAGTGGTGGCAGCCCCTGCCTTCTCTGGCAAGAGGCAGTCTTGCAGCCCCTAGGAGGAGAAAAGAACTTTGCACTGGCCTGTCCCTGACCCTCAGATGAACCTGAGTCCTCTCTAAGAATACGCCTTTCTTTGGAAGGAGATGACCCATGGGCAGGTTATGAGCCAGCATCCATGGGTGACTGCAGGTTAGAGAATAGGTGGCATCCCTGTGGGGGATGGGGCCAGCGTGGGAGGAGGAGGGCACAGCTGACCGGATACCTTGAGTGGAGAGGGGCCCAGGACCTGCCGGCTGCCCACTGGGGTAGCTTGACCAGAATGGCCGGGGTGGGACACAGCAGAGCCAAGTGGAAATCAGACAGGCCAAGGGTTAAATGGACAAGTTACTTCACTCTCTGAGCCTCAGCATCTTCATCTGTAAAATGAGCATAACAGCTCCTAACATACACAATGAGGACTAGATGAGAAAGGCATGTAAACGGCACGGGTGTTGGCAGATAGTTGGCACTTGAGCAGTGATTGCTCTTGTTTCACCCTGCCCCATCAGAATGTTCTCAAGTGCAGGAGTGGACCTGGGTGTGCAGGTGGGGCCTATCCACAACTCTGGTTGGGAAGAACCGAGCATGAGCCAGGCAGGTGGTAGCCTAGAGGGCCCTTTCTGATCACTTAGTGATTGCCTTCCAGCCCCTGGGTGGCTGGCACCAATTCCTGAACCATGAAACCTAGGAAGTGAGCAGGAACCTGAGAAAGGGGGTCTTGTCCATGCTTAAGTAGGCCACAGCTATAAAGGATAAAGAGAGGTCCCCTAGGGCAGGGATGGACATTAGTTTCATCTTGCTACTTAGACTGTTGTGAAAGATTCTGATGTCAGATGCAGGCTTGCTGGGAAAGAGTGCTGTGGTTGATTAGGATGTCTGCCAGGGCCAAGGTTTGGGCAATTAGTTTTTACTTCAAGGCTAGATTTGGCCCTGGCAGGGGAAGTGGAGGTCAGGGGCACCAAAACTATTCAGATTATTGAGCATCTCTCATAACTATCCCAGGAGGTCTCTGTTCTGGGAAATGAGAAAGCTGAGGCTCCAAAAGGGGAGGTGACTTGCCAAAGTCACCCAGCCAGCCAGGTTATGAGCCAGATCTGGATGGCCCAAGCCCACTGTGTATTCCACTGGAGCATGGGGGGACAGAGTTGGGGCCCCCCAGGTAGAAGAAATTCTCCTCTCAGAGCTCTGATTTGGAATCAGAGATGGGCCCCCACCCTATTCCCTGAGGCCCCATTAACCTGGATTTCCCCTCTCCTGACAAGATACCTCTTTCTCTTCTCCTCTAGGAAAATGCCAAAGGAAATAAAGAAAATACAGTTTAAGGAGTTTGATGAATTCATCAGGTCTGTAGCGATCCCCTAACTCTGGAAAAGGGAGGGCAGGAGTGGGGTGCCAGGGACTCTGCATGTTGCACGGTGCTCCTAGCACAGCATCTGGGACTCAGCACCCAGGAGCTGAGAGGCTGTCACACAACGCTTAGAGTGCCAGGTAGACACTGCTCTGGGTGTTTTCCACGTGTTAACTCATGTAAATCCTCTCAACAACCCTATGAAGTTACTTTTAGCATACCCATTTTATAAAAGAGGAAACTGAGGTGCAGAAAAGTTAACTATCGTGCTCAGAGTCACACATCTATTAAGTGGTGGAGCAGGGATTTGAACCCAGCTATGCTAGCTCCAGAGGCTGTACTCTGAACACCACATTAAAACGCCTCTAGAGAACAGATGGTGTACACTTAAGGGTTTGGGTTTTAGAGCAGCAGATTGGAAGTCAAGCCTGCACTCTGCCAGTTGCTCACTGTGTGACCTTGGGGAGATGGCCTAGCTCACTAAGCCTCCGGGTTCTCACTGGTAAGGTAGACAGGAAAGCAGAACCTACCACGTGGAACTGTAGGGAAGACTGAGATGCTGACGTGCTCAGCACAGTTCTACACCTCCACTCTGGTCACAGTTGGTTTGCTCTACCGAGAAGAAGCCTGGCCCTGGCCTGTCTGCCCTGATGACCTTCCCTGTGTCTTCTCCTTTCCCAGGAAGCTGAAGCCGAAAAGGCCCAGTGGTCTGCAGCGGACCCACCCCAATTTCTTCTGGCCAGGTCACCTCCTGGACAAGCTGCAGCTCTACTTGCCTACTGTGACCATGGACAGGAGCTTGGTGCTCTTCAGTTGTGTCCAACACCAGCCCCATGTCTACTCAGCCACCTACCACCCCAACCACTGGTGGCCCATTAGGAACAAGCACTACATGACCTGTGCCAATTACGATGCCCCCAAGGTCTACTACATCAGCTAGAGTGGCCCAGGTGTTGCTGGACCTAGCCATCCTGGGGCAGGGGGACAGTGCAGCTAGCAGCCCAAAGCCATAGACACAGGGGAAGTGTCAAAGACCCAGATAAAAGAAATCATTTCAGTGGGATGGACTGGGGCCAACTCTCCCCAGACCAAAAGTGTCCCATGTCTCAGAGAGCAAATGTGTCCAGGGAAAGATATGTAGTTTTTGAGTGTTTCCCTCTCCTGACCTCTGCCCTTTTGAAATAAACCAAGGTGGAGTTTTCTTCATGTCACCTGTGATCCAGCTCATGTGATTTCTTGCTCGGGAGCTGTGGCCAGAAGGGTGTTTGGAAAGCTGGGGTCCTGAGCTGGAGGAATACAGCAAGTACATCCCCTGTGATGTTGACGGGGATGCCGGCATGGCACTTCCAGCCTCTCACCCTGGGATCTCAGGACCCAGAGAGAAGCAGGAGGCAGAGTGGGTACCCCTGTGCCTTCCTCTGTGAAATAAGTTGGTAGCATGTTCCTCATACCCCAGAGAATGAGCCGTTTGGGTCACCACTTCCAATCTCTTGGGTCCTTCACGATGGGAAGCATGCTCTCTGGTTCATGAGCCCTTCAGCTGATTCACCCACCTGACCTGTCAAGGCCTTTTCCTTCATAACACACATCATGTGGGCTGCTATTTGCACAGCGCTTCCATGCTCTGCATCCCATCTGACTTCCCACAGGCCCGGGGATAAGCGGGGTCCGTGAGGTGGGGTACAGTCACAGACACAATGGGGCTTTAGTCTCAGTCCTACTGTTTGCCAGCTGTGTGACCTCAGACGAGACATTTCACGCTTCACCTCCCTGGGTCTCCTCAAACTCCCCTTCCCTTCACAGTCAAAATCTCATGGAGTTGTCAACACTCGCTTCCTTCCCTTCTCACTTCTCATTCAGTCAACAACACAATCCCATTTAGCTTCTGTCCCCATCTGGCTCTGGGAACTACTCTGTCAAGATCACTGATTACATCTGTGTTATGTTCGAGCTGTGGAATCAAGGGACGTTTTCTGTCTCCTGAAATTAGATTTTCACAATAATCTTAAAAACAAAAGTTAAGCAAAACAAACCAAGAGCAACAATATAGATAGTTTAGCCTAATGGTTAGAAGTGTGGATTTTTGCAGTCAAATCTCCAAAATTCATTCTCTACATATGTAAAATAGGGAAAATAATAGAACCACCTGATAGAATCGTGGGAAGGAGAGTAAATCCCTTTGGATGACAGCCGTTGTACTCATTGCTATTTATAAATTCACGTGAGGGAATTATTAGGAAGTCTTTGTTTTTTCCCTCTTGGCCACTAAGAGGTGCGCTTTAGACAGAAGAAACGCGGGCGGAAATACTCTAACATCTGGCTTATCCTCCGGAGGAGCGGCTTCAGCTTCTGGCGGAAGTGGATGCCCGCCACCAGGTCTTGGAAGCTCAGAAAGAACTCCAAATTTTCTATGGAGTCCCAACGGCAGGTATGAAGAACTTTCAATACTACTCCTAGATATTAATGTCTAGGAAAACACAGGTAGCCTTCGGCTTTTTTTTCAGTATTATTTCTCTGACATGTCTTTATTTTCTCTGAAGGATCAAGAGCCGGAAGTGCTCGCCTTTTCCCTGCCAGGACCCTAAGGTTAAGTCCCGTCAGCCCTCGCGAGCCACCTTCCCATCTCTTCCTCGGCGCTCCCTACGGAGGTGGCAGCCATCTACTCGGTAAGTCTTAATCGTTGGCCATCCGCGTCTCTGCGGTCTCCGTCTGGTCCCATCGCTCCCTGGTGAGGAGGTCTGTGCTTCCGAGCGGTCGTCTCTGTGGACGTTGTCCTTGTCGGCTGGCTGGAGCGCGTACAGGAGCAGAGCGAAGCGGCCCCGCGGGTGATGGAAGTGTGGTTCCCTGGGCTCTTTGCCCTCCTACGGAGGCCGCCTGGGGTCAGTCAGACCTGCTGACCGCTTGTTTGAGCCCCGAGGGCGAGGGCGCATGTTGGGGCCGTATTAACGGGGCTGAGAAGCGGCCGGGGGAGGTCCGGCCTGACGGCCCGGGCTCGAATCGTGGGATCCCGTCGCCTGGCGATGTCCGCCCATGTGTATCTATTTCCGCTTCCCGACGCTGCTTCCCTCCCAGTTTCTGGCCTTGCGGTTCCTGTTGCGGCGGGATCGCCAGGGAAAAAAAAAACAAACCAGCTGCGAGTCGACTCGTTCAGTTAACGAGTTCCGATAGGGGGTCAGGATCTCTGGGAATACGGAACTGCGGCCTTGTTTTCGAGGAGATGGTACCGGGGGCGGAGGGAGTCTTTCGTTAATGTAATGCATGTGCATTGAGTACCTACTGTGAGCCGAAGAAAGAAAGCGAAGGCTGTGAAGAGAGCAAAAAGTGTGCTGCAGTAGGAAAAAAGAGGGTAGCTGGGAAGACCACCTGGAAGAGGGTAACTTTTCAGTTGGTGCTCAGGTGATCTCCAGGTAGAACAGTATGTGCGCAGACGTAGGGGCATTTTAAAAGGACGACGTGGTTTCGTCTAGCTTTTGAGATACTGCAGAGCTGCTGCGCCCGCGGGGCGTTACAGGTTTCTCTTTACTGAGCCGCCCGGTCCGGGCCCTGCAGGCCTTGAGAGTGCAGTATCTCCATTTCACAGGTGAGAAAACAGACTCAGGTTCTTGTAGATTCCCCGAGGCCCGCTGGACCATCTCGGGGGTGGGACACGCTGTGGAGTGCCATTTGCTGCCCCTGCAAGCTAAGAACGTTTTGGGGTCAGTTTGTTTGAGGTCAGCTGTTGGCGTTCTTTCTTAGCTTTGAGTGGGTGAGGTGATCCCTAACCTCCCAGGATCGCGTCTGGAGAGTGGCTAGTATTCTGCCAGCTTCGGAGACGGGAGGGAAAGCAAGCCTGGCAGAGGCACCCATTCCATTCCTAGCTTGCTCAGTAGCTGGTGATTGGAAGACACTCTGCAACAATGTTGAAGCCCTGGGCCCGAAAGCTGCCTTCCCGGACTCTAATTTGACACAGTCTGTGCCTCTTTCTTGAAGGCGTCATGGCTGCCCTCAGACCCCTCGTGAAGCCCAAGATCGTCAAAAAGAGGACCAAGAAGTTCATTCGGCACCAGTCAGACCGATATGTCAAAATTAAGGTACATGCTCTTGGGACGGGGTGAAGAAAGGCCTTCTTAAATGGGCTGTTGGATTTCTGACATCATCTCGTGGGAACATTGCCTTGGGCAGATGAACCGATCTGTGGTTGGTGCACAGGCATTGTGTAGAAACCCAGGTCTCCCAGTGTGCTTTACTGGCACTCAGTCTTTTGATGTGTAAATTGAAATTGAAAAGGAACAGCTATTTTGAGGTGTCTAGAGACTTAACGATTGTATCATATTTCGGGTGGTGGTCTGACAGTATGAGAGGTGGATAATCCTTATTTTATAGATGAGAAAACTTAGGTCTTAAGTGCAATGTCAAAACCTGTGCTCGGGTTGCTGTAGTCTGCTTTGGCGGCCCAGGGTTTTGCTGGTTCAAATCCTGGGCGTGGACATGGCACCGCTCATCAGGTTATGCTGATGCGGTGTCCCACATGCCACAACTAGAAGGATCCACGACTGAAAATACACAAGTATGTACCGGGGGGGCTTTGGGAGGAAAAGAAAACATAAAATCTTTAAAAACAAAAAACACCCCGTGCTCTTCATCTTACTGTATACATAATTCCCTCACATTCCACGGGTAAAGGGAAAGTCTGCTTTTCCTTTGCTTAGGAGGAGTGTGGGTGTGCATCTGTACTCCCGGTGGTCAAATGCAGGAGCCTCTATTTATTTTTTTCCACCCAAAGAATATAAAGAAGTAGTGAAATCCTGTTACCCAGAGAAGACTACTATTTGGCATATTTCCTTTACATTTAGTCCCGTTTTTCCTACAAAAGGAAGAGTTGGCAGTCTGCACAGACAGTGACCCTCCTGTGTTTTCTTTCAGCGTAACTGGCGGAAACCCAGAGGCATTGACAATAGGGTGCGCAGAAGATTCAAGGGCCAGATATTGATGCCCAACATTGGTTATGGGAGCAATAAGAAAACGAAGCACATGCTGCCCAGTGGCTTCCGGAAGTTCCTGGTCCACAATGTCAAGGAGCTTGAAGTGCTGCTCATGTGCAACAAGTGAGTTGGGTCCCACTGGGTTCAAGTGTCAGACGTCTACATCTGTGTGAGCATTTTTGGCAGGCATTCTAGACCTTTTAGAATGCTTTTGGAGGAGTTGTATGTCCTCCCAGGAGCTTAGAGAATGCTTGTTGGGGACTTAAAAATGTTTCTTTTGCTGGGGTGGGGAGGATGGGATAGGACTTGTCCTGAAAAGCAGAGGCCCAAGACTTGGAAAGAGAAGGACTTTGCTTGACAGTACAAACACTGCAGTATCCCGCTGGCTGTCATTTCCAGAACATTGCTTTATTTATGTGGGAGGTAGTGGGGAGAACACACTTAGCCCCAGAGCTAAGGGGTGCTGCACGCGGGGGCCGCGGGCGTCTTCAGAGGCCTGCAGGGATGGACGGGTTGCTGCATGATTTAGGGCTCAGTGTGATCTGAGGTGGAGAAGAGGAGGGCTTTGTTTGCAGGCGCACCGGCAGTTCACAGGGTTACTTCCAAGTGTGTTGAGAAAGTTAGACACTTGGTGAGCTCTGTAAGAGACATTTTTGGTCTGCTTAGGCCACAACTGGAGCAGTGGGCTGAGAAAAGATTTCTCAAGGCAAGTGATTTAGACACTTTGAATCTGGATTGGAGGGAATGGTATTTTTTGGTTAAGCAGAGGACACTTTACCTTCTTCCCTTCCTGTTAAACAAAAGCTAAAAACCTGTGGGTGTGTGTTTTTAAGCAAATTAGTAAGGATATGGACAGAGGGTGACTAACTAGTAACATCTGGGCATGTGTGTGTTAGAAAGATCTTTTATCTAGAGTGATTGTGGACACAAATAATAAAAATGAATGAAACTTTTATTCTCACCTTTGGTTGAGTTTCTACGTTGGAAATTTAACCAGGCATTGAAATGCTGGCAATTTTATTTAGAAAAGGTGAGCATAGGAATTAATAGTGGATCTCCAAACCGCAGTAAACAGGTTGATAGAGAATTATGACAGAAAGATGCAATTTAATACCTTTTGTGTGGTAAAAATGATTACCATGCAAAAATGTTGCTGGTTGTCATAAAGATGCGTTTTTGTTGTTGTTGTTGTTGTTTTGTGTTTTTTTTTGTGTGCTGAGGAAGATTATCTCTGAGCTGACAACTGTGCCAGTTTTCCTCTCGTCTCTTTTGTATGCGGGTTGCTGCCACAGCATGGCCACGTGTAGGTCTGTGCCTGGCATCTGAACCCACAAACCCAGGCCCTGAAGCAGAGTGTGTCAAATTTAACCACTACACTTCAGGGCTGGCGCAAGATACTCTTAATAGCAGCTTGGCAGTTTGTAACAAGAGCCATAGAAATACTCTGAATCTGTGCCTTTTAATTCACAAGTTCATCATTTTGTGGCATTTATTCTTAAATAAAAGCAGAGAAACTTTATAAGCTGATCATTGTAGCAGTAACTGAACAATTGAAAATATTGGTGAATGGTGAGAGTACAAGCACTGGGTGGAATGTTATGCATATATGAAAAATGATTGTCATGTATGGAAAATGCCCATGCAGGGGAAAGTATTAAAAGTGATAGGTACAGTGTGATTGTGATTTTTAAATACACATGGATAAGGACCTGAGTTTTTGAAAAATGAAGAAAACATGAAAACTGGGGCAGGCTCCATGGTGTAGTGCTTGGGTTCGGCATGCTCGGCTTCAGCAGCCCAGGTTCGCAAGTTCGGATCCCGGGCTTGGAGCCCTACCACTTGTCAGCAATGCTGTGCTGGTGACGCACATACAAAGGGGAGGAAGGTTGGCACAGACGATAGCTCAGACCTAATCTTCCTGAGCAAAAAAAAGGCACAAAAAAACATGAAAACTAATACAACTTAAGTCTTAAAGATGATGGGAACATTTTAAAATACAGCTACTTTGAGCTTGAATGGACTTCTTTATATAAAATAAGAAAATTCTTTGGATTTGCTTGTTTCTAGATGTTAAAATATTTTCCTGCAGAGCTCTTGAACTGTAGATGCCCACTGCCTGTCGTCTTTTCGCTGAAATTCCTCCAGGGGTAGAGTGTTGTCTTAATCCACTGTTGGTGGCTTCACAAATCACCTCCTTACTGAACTGTGCTCATTAGGCTGGTTTGTCATCAAACTGGGGCATGGTGTGGCTGTAATGAATGAGTTAGAACAGGATCTGGCACACAGGGACTCAGGAAATGTTAGGTGTTGATACTCACTGGGTAACTTTAGGCAGTGTTACTCCTCAACTTGAATTTTGTCCACAGCAGTCAAAATAAGACGTTTGTGGTCTGAGCCAGGGAGCCCTTGGCTGAATCAGATTGTTGGATTCTGCTCTGGATTGTCTGCAGAGTGTTCTAGAACTTCACGGGCAAGTCTGAGACTGCCCTGAGTGGGGCAGATTGGCCGGAAGGACTGAGGGAGGGAGAACCTTGGAACCTGGAGTTGGGCTGGGCTATCCTGGCCCTGTCTGGTACTTAAGACGTGACTTAGGGATTCACTTGCACCTCTGTGGGCCTTGGTTTCCTTGTCTGTAAAATGGACGCACTGCCTGGATTACAAGGCTGCTGCGAGGACTGAATGAGAGGGGACGAAGAGTGTGCTTTTTGTCACTACCAGGGAACACTTCAAGAGCCGTGCTGCTGGTACCATGGGATTAGGAGTTGTGATTTGGGGGCATGCCGGTCTTGTTCAGCAGCCATTTACCAGCACCCTCTCTGCTCAGTACTGTGGCTCTGGAGGTGAAGTGACTGAAGCCGTTGCCTTCCCAGTGGTACACAGGAGTGTGTGTGTTCCAGGCTGGCTTGCTCCTTACTCACTCACTGATTCTCTTCCAGATCGTACTGTGCTGAGATTGCTCACAATGTCTCCTCCAAGAACCGCAAAGCCATCGTGGAAAGAGCAGCCCAGCTGGCCATCAGAATCACCAATCCCAATGCCAGGCTGCGCAGCGAAGAAAACGAATAGACGACAGCTCGTGTGCGCATTGTATTTGTGTTAATAAAACCATGAAACTCTGCCGTCTGGCAATTCACCCGTGTTTTACTCTTCAGTTTCATACTTTGACAGCCTGTCACAGAGATTGGTCTTATGCCTGTTAGTACCCTGGAATCTTAGATCTGGAAGGAGTTCGTGAAGGTTGCTCCATCCTTCACAGGGCACAGACCTCAGGTGCCCAGACCAGCCTTGGTCTGCTCCAGCTGGGGCGAGGGGAGGGGAAGGCTTGGCCCTGAGATGAGGGTGGGTTCTGAGACCCCTGATTAAAGGACCTCGCAGCTCGGAGCAAGTCGTCATTCTTAGCCTCAGTGTGTAAAGCTGGGTAATGGTTACCCTCTGTGGTTCTTGTGAAGATTGAGAACACGTACATGAAAGGATCTGGATGGATTTTTTCTTAATCCCTTAATGCTTGCTTGGTGCTGGAATAGCACCCTATAGTTTATGTCCAAAAATGTACAACAGGATGACACACTCATCGCCCCACTACGGAAGAGCAGCCTCGGACGACTGGAGTATCTTCAGTCTCCCTCATGGTACCCGCCCCCAACTCGCTGCTTGCGGGCTGAGTTAACAGCGGGTTCTGAAGCTGTGGGGTCCTTCACTGGTGACAATCAGGCCTGTATGCTGGAACTCAGGATTTGACAAGCAAGCTCCATTTTAAAGTACAGCCCTAGAACTCAGGCAACAACAGCTAGAGTTTCGCTTTTAATTAATTATAACTGCTTTTCCAAGAAGTGGTATTAAGTGGCAGTGTAGGTCACATGGGGTATGGCATGTGGGCTCTAGTACGGGACAGATGTTTATGGGGTGTTTTTGTTTGCACCATCCTGGTCAAGTGAGCAGAAATACTATACTGAAGATAAATTTCTTGGTGTGCTAGCCATGATTGGGTGTAAGTCCCTTAGTTCCAGGAGATAAATGTCTTCCAGGGTGATTGCCTCCTATTCCAAACCTAGGCTGAACACTTGGTGAGTAAATGCTGGTCATTTCCATGATTTCTTTAAATTGACTTGGGAAGGATACTAACAGTGGTCTATTGAGTGGAGGAATTGTGCAGAGAACACGGTGACAATTCAGAATCTCCTTTATTCTGGGACAGCACAGAAAATTCTTTGGCCTGTCGCTTAATATTTCTGTGTCCTCAATACTAAAAACTAGAAACAACGTTCAAAACCTTGCTCAAGAGGACAAACCAACAGGTTATGCCTGGGTGGGGTGACGTGAAAGGTGGTTTGCCCTTTGTGCTCTCCTGGGTTGCTACGGAACAGTTTTGAAATTAGAAAAAAAATCATTAGATCTAATTCCCTACCCCAACCACCTCCCCCTGCAAAACACTCCACATTTAATGATGCATCACTGCCAATTGGAAATAAAGCATTTTGAATTCTAAAATGTGAATAACTCAGAATTATCCGAGTTTTTAAGGTGCCCAGCCAAAGCACGAATTTTTGGCAGATAAGTGAAATGAAAAAAGAGTGGTGTGCATGACAAATCTGGGATGCCAGTGGGAAGGCAGGCCGGCACACTGCCTCCCAACCTTTCACAGCTGTGAGCACGAGAGTCTAAATACTACTTAGTACGTTGTGAGGCAGGGTCTGCCAGTCATTGATCTTCGTGTGGAAGAAATAGGAAACTTCCGTGTCGTGTTTGAATGACTGTCCTGAGTTAAAGGGCTCCAGCTGGGGGCCTATGATTTGGGGTCCCTGGAGAAGGCACTGTAAGCCCGGAGCAGGAGCAAGAGTGCCCCCAGTGAGATGAAAGGGCAAAAGTAGAGGCCTGCAGCCTGTGGTGGTGGGAGGCTGAGGCCTCGGATGGGCAGACCCCTTCTCTTGAGTAAGGGCCCACCTGGGGGCTGTGGGAGGACTAGCTGAGTTCCATTGAGTCTGTGCTGGGGGCTGAAGCAGAATCCTTCTGGATGCTCTCGAAGAGGGCAGCAAGTTCAGGGTTGGATCGGATCTGGGAAGAGAAGTCGGCCATGATGGGGCATTTTCCCACTTCAGGTATGGTCAGCAGGGCGGCCACTGCCCGCATCGCAGAGCGCTTCAGTTCATCTTGCTTCTCGAACTCCTGCTTCACGGAACCAGCTTTGACCTAAAGTCGGAAACAGTGAGCAAGGAGCCATCCCTCATCAACCCTGGCTTTGCACCACAGCCTCCTCACTGGTCTCCGTCTCCTCTGGACCAGTAATCTGCCTAAAAGCTCCCCTGCTTCAGTCTCCTCTGGTTCTACCCTGAAGGCTTCTCCACCTCTGGGCTTTTACACAGAGTGGTTCTTTGTCATTCCAATCAGCTCAAGTGTCACCTGAGGGGCCTCTGACCAGCTTTCTTTTCATTGATGAATAATTTGATGGTGACAATTGCTGTAAAGTGTTCAGTTAACTGTCTCCTTCCCCCAACAGGAGGGATGGACTTATCTTTCTTTACTGTGCTTACAACAGGCTCGTGGTACCCTATGACTCAACTGCATAAATGGATTACTGTGGCGGTCTTCTAGCTGGCCTCCTCTCCCCACTCAGGTCCCTGCCCCTGCAATCCATTCTGCGGAGGCAGCTGGAGAATCAACATCGCAAACTGCCTTGCCTGCTTTCTGTTTCCTCATCCCCTACGGTCTCCCACTTAGAGGATCTCAGGAATTCCCCCACTGCTTACGGAATCAAGTCCAGATTCCTGCTGCCCACCTCTCAAGGCCCTCCACGACGTAGCCCAGACAACACTTGGGCTCTTCGCCTTAACAGTCTAGTGGTCAAGAGCTGGGCACTGGGGTTGGACAGTCCTGGGTTCAAATGGTTCTACTCTGTAAGAGCTGTGACTTCAGGTGGTCACTTCTCCATCTATAAATAAGAGCGTCCTCTTCACAGAGTCACTATGAGGATTAAATGACAATACAGGTCCATACCCCCTTCTCTGAAACCCTTGGGGCCAGATGTGCTTTTGGAATTTGGGATTTTGAGGGGTTTTAGAAAAGTGATAACTGTACAGATAACATGGGTCTGGTACAACACCCTGTAATCAAGTACATTAATATTTCCCCCACTGAATTTACGAAAAATGTAAGAACATGAATATCACATTAAGAGAGAAATAAAGGTCATAAACAGCCTCATTCAAGTCAAGTTTTGTTGCCAAACAAGTTACTAAAAAGCTTTTGGTTTCCAGAGCTTTGTGGGTTTCAGAATCGTGGAGGAGAGGACGATGTAATGTGACATGCTCTCATCACACACAGCCTTCTGTGAGCAGCCAGACGGAGTGGCTTCTGTGTGGGCCTCGGATCAGAGTGAGTGGAGGGGCGTCCTGACACTGCCGTGCCATTGGCAGCTCCTCCCTCTGACCTGGGACTTTCTCCATGTCGTACAGTTCAAAGAAAACTAGAAATGACTTGGCCACTGAGACCACCAAGAGTTCCATGGCCCCGCAGAACCACTGTTTTCTTTGATTGACTTCGTACTAAGCATATGTTAAAAATGGAAATTTACAAGGTAGGTTTCTATTAATAAATTACTAATTTCATCTGTTTTATCCACATAAGATTTCATTTTTTTGGAAAAGGTTTTGCTACTTGAAAGTCAGTGCTCTATGGGTATCCTCTTTAAGCTCCGATCTTAAATACTCTGCCCTCTTTTTGGTTAATTCCTACCCTTCCGAAACCCAAATTAGTTCTTTCACTCGACAAGTATTTCCTGGGTACCCCCTGGGGGTGTCAGGCTCTGTCCCCAACGCTGCAGCTCTCCATGAGGCCTTCAGCCCCAGAGGCCTCCCCTGGACCCTCGAGGCACTCCGGTCTAGCAGCAACTCTGCCCTATATCAATCAGTCAATGATTTCTATCTTTCTAAGAGTTTGATTCAGTTTCCCAATTAGGAGGTGAGAGGAGAGAGCCTACCAGGCTCAATGTTGTATCCCTAGTACCTTGCACAAGGCCTGGCACCCAGGAAATGTTTAATGAATGAAAGAAAGGGACAAAGCAGGGTTTGAATCCCAGCTCTGCAATTTCCTAGCTGTGTAGCCTTGGTCAATAACTTTACCTCTCTGAGCTTCTGTTCCCCTGTGTATACAATGGTAAGAATAAGAAGTACTTTAGAATAAGGTGATGCTAATAATCAAATGAAGCACTTCATACACCAGTTGTACCACAGCAAGTTCTCAGCAAATGGTAACTACGAACGGTCTGCTGAGGACCCGGCAGGTGCAGCCAGGGCTGGGCAGGGGCTTACCTTGGCAGTGCAGGTGGCCCTGAGTGGCTCAATGAGCCGGTCCACCCTCTGCAGGACGGGCGCAGGACACAGGGTAGCCAAGCGTGCGAGCATGATGAAGGTCAGCATCTGCCCAGGAGGGAAACAGACTTCTTGGTAAAATGGCCCAGGACCAAAAGCCACAGGCCCTGGGGAAGAGCAGAGGCTCTGAACCCAACCCCTGGAGCTCAGGTCCAAACTCCAGCACTGATTCCTACAGGGCCCTGCCACAGTCTCTCCCTCTCTGGGCCTCAGTTCTCTCATCAGTAAAGTGTTAATGCCATCTACATTTTGCTGTCCTGAGGCGGATCAGAGAGGTACCAGGAGGGGCAGTTCTCAAGCTCAGATGCCCACAGGGCGAGGCAGATACTGTCCATGAATGAAGAGGGCGAGATGGGAACTGGGAAGGGGTAAGGAGTCCACACTCCAGACAGTGGCTATTGAGCTCCAGCCGATTGTGGCTAGGTGGGAGTGTGGCCCAGGGTTGATGGACTGTTTTCAAAAGAAACCCAAATTTTCATGTAAAATCTCTCAATTTTTAAATGTTAACACCCGACTCAAAAACAACTGTATGAGCCAACTAAATACATCTACAGGCCTGGATTCAGCCTGCAGGAGAATAATGGTGACCTCTGTTGAATATGGTAAAGTCCCTATAAATGATATACAGCATAAAGGGCGGTTGTCTGAAATCCACATGCCCTACCCATTCCCACCAGCTATCCACTCTGCCCTCACCTCCCCACGCCCCACAGCAAAGGAGCAGGACGGGGGCCAGAGCAGCAAGGAGCATGGCATTACACGTCACAAGCTATGACCCACGGCTCCTCCACTTCCTGCTTGTGCCCTTGAACTAGCAGGTCTCTGGTTTCTCCCCTGTAAATTGGGCATCATGAACTCACTCTCCAAGGGTTAAAGTGAAGACTTTTAGGGTCAGTCCAGAGGCTCTGCTCATGGAGACAGAACAGAGGGGTCAGAGGGTGTGTGTGAGAATTCTAAATTTTTCTAGTTATTGCCAAACCATCCTCCAAACAGCTTGCCCAGTGTAGACTCCCACCAAAGGTGTTTGAGGTGTGGGTTCTTTTTCTTATCAGAAGAGAACAAAGCAGCTATTTTCATGGGGTGCCTGGGGTAGGGAGTGGGGGACAAACAAGCAGTGGGCCAGGGTCGCCTGGCTGCCCCTTGATGCGGGGTGGGGTGGGCCCGGCAGGGGCGCGTCCTACCCGGATATCGTAGTGGTCCTTCAGGCCGTCCTCCACGCGGTTCAGGAACTCGCAGATGTCCAGCTGGCCCAGGCAGCTCTCGAGCAGCGAGTACATGCATTCGAAGGCCGCCTTCCGCACGTCCAGCCCATCGTCCACTGTGTGCTTGAAGGGTCCCATCTCCACCTGCAGGAAGGAAGGATGACCAAAGGTTGGGGGAATGTGACCCCAAGGCGTAAGAAACACTGCCCTGGTTCCTGCTACACACCCGCACATGTTGTTCACTACTGTGTCCCCTCCCCAAATCATGCCTTCCACACTCAGTCTCCATGCCTCTGCTCAGCCTGCAATGCCCTTTCTACCAAATGATAATAGCAGGAATAATAATTATTATTATAATCTACTGAGCCATTCTGACGTGCTGGGCATTGTGCTGAGTGCTTGACAGATGACACTTTACTCAAGCATCACAACAGCCCCAGAAAGACAGTGTTACTAGCAATCCCGTTTAACATATGATGAAACTAAGGCTCAGAGAGGTTAATTAACTTGCCCAAGGACACACAGCTAATAAGTGGCTGGACCAGAATTAAAAACCCAGATCTCTCTGAAGTCACAAAGCTCTGCTCTTAATGGTAAACTCTTTCTCACCCCTCTAAGCCCAGCTCAAATGCCCTGTTCTTTTGGAAAACTTTCCTAACCCCTCTAAACAGAGTCACTTCCTCCTCACTCATGCCTTGGGGTCCAGACCTTTTTATTACATTGTGCGATAACTTAGCTACTAAATCACTTTTAATCTCTGCCCCTTAAATCCTTACTTCACCAAGTGAGCTCTAAATAACTTAAATAATCAGCAGAGTGAGTGCCTCTCTCCTTCAGGAGGCCGTGAGCTCCCCGGTGGCAGAAACCATGCTTGGTCCAGCTCTGAGTCCCGGCATTCGGACACAGGGCTGGTGAGCCACGAACACCTGCTGCGTGTTGAGTGACAACAGGGGTTGCCAACATTTACTGAGTGCTGACTGTGTGCGGGAGCAGTTCTGAGCACATGCAGGATTTAACTCATTAAATCTTCTCAAAACCCCTAGGTGTGAACATGATTATTTTCCTCATTTTGCCTGTGAGGAGAAACTGAGGCTCAGAGCGGCTCAGGCTGCCTGGGCCAAGGTCACTGTGAAATAATAGAAAATACATATATCGGTCTCTGCTCTGGGTGGGCTCTGGGATGGGGGCCAGTCACCAGACAGACTCAGCCGTGATTAGAAGCTTGGCATCTGCGGCCCCTCCTTGATCATGCCGGTGTGAGGAAGCCTCTGTAAAATGCCCGGGGTTTGGAGAGCTCCAGGTGGGTGAACACATCCACCCCGGGAGGGGGACGCACCCCATCTCCACGGGGACGGAAGCTCCTGCGCTCACGACCCTCCCAGACCTCGCCCTGGGTATTTCTGCGTCTGGCGTGCATCTGTGTCCTTTATCACATCCTCTAACAAACTGATAAATGTAGGTCAGTGTTTCCCTGGGTTCTGTGAGCCACTCCAGCAAATTAATTGAACCCACGGAGGGGGTCGTTGGAACCTCAGCTCTACAGCCAGCTGGCCAGAAGCCAGGTGACAACCTGGGCTTGCAACTGGCACCTGAAGATGCGGGGGCAGTCTTGTGGGACTGAGCCCTCAACCCGCAGGATCTGACCTGCCTCCGCGTAAGGAGGGTCAGAACTGGGTTGAATCCTTGCACACCCTGTGGCGTCTGAGAACTGCCTGTCGGTGTCGTGCGGGGAAACCTCCACAGGCTTGGTGACCACAAGTGTCAGAGAGAAGTGTAAAGCGTAAACGTGAAGGAGTCACCGGGGAAGAACTGTGGTTTTTCCTACACAGAAGGCGGAAGGCGCCACAGCCCTGCCCGCCAGGCCTGAGGGTGGCCGTCCTCCCCCCGCCCCACCTCTCGGATGAGGTCCCGACGGATCTTCGTCTCCTGGTAGAGGAGGGGCAGGATGTCGTCCAGCAGGTCACGGACCAGCGAGGGCTTGTTGTGCACGGCCGAGTTGAAGAAAGCCAGAGTGGCCCGGCGCACGTTCAGGTCGGGGTCCTGCAGGCTCTCCATGAACTCTCCTGGCAGAAAGACGAGAGGGGGTGTGAGGGGCAAACCACCACGACCTCCCCCCTCAGTCATCTGGTTAATGTGAGCCGTGCAGACCTGGCGGGATGGGGCGAGCGTGCTCTGAGCATCAACTCTGTGCAGGCACAACAAGCCTTCAAAGTCCAGACCAGAATGTGGACTCGAATCTGGCCTGGGTTCAAATCTAGAATCGACCACTTCCTCACTCTGGGACTGTGGACAGCCTCAATGTCCTCATCTGTAAAACGGGGGTAGTAACAGCACTGTAGGACTGTCTTTAGGATTAAAAATGTGGTAATGTCTACAAAGCACATAGAGTACCTGGCACAGAGTGAGGACTCTATAAATGTTAACTGGATATTACTACAAATGAGGTTCCTGAAGATCAGAGAGGTAAAGAAACTTACACAAAGTCACACAGCATTTCTCTGAGTATAGTTTGGACTTTTTAATAACTATCTTAATGTTTTATATACTCAATAAATAAATAAAATCAAGAATGGGAGGGATCCCTAAAAAAACTAACTGTATTTCAAATAATTAATGTAACCACCCAGGTTATGAAGGAGAAAACAACCAAGTAACTTACAAAGTATTTTAACTAGACGCCCTCAGGCTAAAGACAAAAGAACTATAAACAAAGTTGATTTTTCACAGATAAGAGTTGGTAATTCTTAGACTACTTTCTTTGTATTCCAGGATTAAGCAAATAAATATCTTGTGGATAACAGGAGTTGGGTGTCTCCCTGTTAAGAGACAGGGATAAGGAAAGGGAGAAGCTAGAAAGCACCCTTTGGTACTGGACTGGAATAGGAGGCAGCTGGGAACACACAGTTCCAAGATGGAAAGAATGATAGCTATAAAAATAGAAAGAGATGTGAATGAATGCACGCATATACAAACGTGTGTGCATACATACCGTTCCTCGCTCGGTCTGCTGAGAGCACCTAGAAGCAATGGCACCTCGGCAGCAAGGAGCACCCCTAGCGTCCAGATCTGGGATTCTAAATACCATTCTCCACTAAAGGGAATCGGGGTGCCTGTCAGTCATCACTGATTCAGGCAAAACACCACAATGGAGGCAAAACATAGTGGGCAAAACTTTGATGAGGAAGAGGATATTTCAATAAACTCAAACATACTTATTCATTCCAAAGGAAAAAGAGTAACTTTAGAGTGGAGGAGCCTGGAGGTCTCCACCTGAACCAGGTGATCAGAGTTCCCATCACCAGTCACAGGACAAACTGCCATGGTGTGACTCCCGGTGTGACACACTGCGAAGAACAGAAAGTCTGCCAGCAAAGCAGGATCCAAACCCAGGGCCGGCAGCCTCTGAGCCCCTTCTCCTGCGCCATGCTGGCTCCTAGGCTCCCTGCTCTCTGTGGGAACACAGCTGTGGGGAACTGTGGGGGTTAACTGAGACAAGGTATGCGTGAGAGCTCAAAAACTGTTCAGGGGCCGGCCCGGTGGTGCAGCAGTTAAGTGCTCAAGTTCTGCTTCGGTGGCCCAGGGTTCGCCGGTTCGGATCCCAGGTGTGGACATGACACCACGTGGCAAGCCATGCTGTGGTAGGCGTCCCACGTATAAAGTAGAGGAAGGTGGGCACAGATGTTAGCTCAGGGCCAGTCTTCCTCAGAAAAAAGAGGAGAGTTGGCAGATGTTAGCTCAGGGCTAATCTTCCTTGAAAAAAAAAAAATTGTGGTTCAAACACAGAACCACCACCAAGGACCCAGGTGGAGGCCCCTCGGGCTGCTCAGGCAATGGAGGAAATCAGGGCTGGGCAGCATGTGCCCGCTGGGTTAGGACACAGGATGAAGTTGCTGTTGATGGTACTGCTGTAGCTTCTAGACGTGTTCTCCAATTCAGAGTGTGGCCACATCTGCTGACCCCTTGGTCTCACACAACAGCGCCCCAGCAGATGGGGATTAGCACCCCATTTACAGCTGAGGATGAGATGACCTGTGCAGGCTCCCACAGCCAGGGAGTGGCAGAGCCAGGGTCCAAACCCAAGGCTGGCGGACTCCGCAACCTCTCCTTTCTCCACTAGGCTGCCCTGCCTGGATGGGGAGAGCCAGACTCCAGGGCAGTCCAGTTGAAGGCCTGCAGGCTCAGAGCTTTAAAGGGGTCCTGCAGAGCCCCAAAAGAGGGCTCACCCTCTTCCCAGTGAAGGCTGTTTGGGCTCCTCAGGCCAGAAGGCCCCTCAGACAGGGGATGAGCTGGGGAGTGCTCTCCCCTACCCGGTGCAGCCCCACCTAGCCCGGTGCCCCCTGAAGCCGATGCATGTGAGAGACTGATGGTTTCCACTTCCAAAAGCCTGTTGTGTTCCTGGAGCACTTTCTCCTCAGAAACCCGTGGGGTCTCCACAACCACCTCAGAACACGCAGATAAGCGGATTGCACCCTCAGTTTAGAGAGGAGGAAACAGGCTCAGAGGGGAGAATGGGCACGTTGGGGTCACCCAGCAATTCAGCAGCAGTGCAGGATTTGAACCCAGGCCCCATAGGGGTCTTCCCAGGTCTCAACTCCCCTCGGCCAACGTGTAAGAAAAATCAGCCCAAGCTCAAGGCCCGGGTGGAGGGGACTGGATGGGGCCAGGGGCAGAGGGGAAGGCGTGCTCACCAATGAAGCTCTTCAGGAGGGGGTCAATGGAGTGGGGCTGGTCCGAGATGAGGAACTTGACCGCTGTGATGACAGTGCTCCGCGTGTGGGGCCGACCTGCAGGACAAGAGGCGGCGGCCTGGTGAGGAGCAGGGCCGATCCCAGACACCCACAGGTGGGGAGGTGCTAAGGCTCTCGTCTGCTCCGGGGGAGGCAGGACTGCACCCCTCCCCACCCAAAGCCAGACCCCGTCTTTGGGGAAGTCGATGCTACCGTTTCCCTCGGCAGCCTAGAATCTCCCCTGAATTCTTCTGCTGTGGCTGAGGGGTAAAACTGCCAGTTCTCAGGCGACCACACTGCAGGACGTGAACAGAGAACCCAGAACCCAAGACAGCCCCGGTCACACCAGACAAAGACCGTCGCTCAGGCCTTGGGACAGTATTCTATTTTCCAGACACATTGTTTCAATTAATCCTCAGGATGGTCCTAACTGGTTGATAATAATAAATAATATTAATTAAAATAATTAATAAAAATTGTCATTAATTTCTGTTTTACAGATGAGGAAAGAGAGACCCAGAGAGTTAAATTCACATCTTAGGGTCACACAGCAGATCCAGAATTCAACAGCTGATTCTGCACCTGGGCCGGCCCCCCTTTCAGGCCTGCATTCTCCAAGCAGGAGGCAGCTGTGCATCAAGCGGGCAGAGGCCAAGGGGATTCCAACAGAATTGAGAGCATCCCCAGAACGTGGCAACAGAGAACTCACTCAATTTGCTTTTCTGCCTTCTTTCTGAGTAGAGAAGCTGAAGAAAAGGGGGGAATTCCCACTAAGTGAAAGAAAGAAACAAGCGGCTGCTGGCTCCTCTGCCCCCAACTCCCCCACTTCCAGCAGCGAATGGATTAAGGCTGTTTCCATCCCACAGACTTTATATTCAAGACTCAGGAGAAAGTTTACAATTTGGTGCTAGGGAACGCATGGGTGACAGTTGCTGACTCCAGAGTGTTTTCCTCTTTCTCTTTCCAGCCTGACTGGCTCCTAAGAAGATTCAGGGCGGCTGATGAAGATATGTGCAATAGAACAGGATGAGGTGAATTTAAAATAAGAAAAACAAGCAGCCACTATGGAAAACAGTATGGAGATTCCTCAAAAAATTGAAAATAGAACTACCATATGACCCAGCTATCCCACTACTGGGTATCTATCCAAAGAACTTGAAGTCAGCAATTCCTAAAGTCCTGTGCACCCCAATGTTCACTGCAGCATTATTCACAATAGCCAAGACATGGAACCAACCTAAGTGCCCATCAACAGATGATTGGACAAAGAAGATGTGGTGTATATATACAATGGAATACTACTCAGCCGTAAAAAAGAACAAAATCGTCCCATTTGCAACAACATGGATGGACCTTGAGGGAATTAAGTGAAATAAGCCAGTTAGAGAAGGACAATGTCTGTATGACTCCACTCATATGAGGAATTTAAAAATGTAGACAAAGAGAACAGATTAGTGGCTACCAGGGGAAAGGGGGGTGGGGGGTGGGCACAAAGGGTCAAGGGGTGCACCTACAACACGACTGACAAACAATAATGTACAAGTGAAATTTCACAAGATTCTAACTTATTAACTCAATAAAAAAATAATAAATTAAAAATAAATAAATAAATAAAATAAGAAAAACGAGGCCGAGGAAAAACACGGGCAGGGAAATGAGACGGAGACTAGCTAGCAGGAGGGATGTGCAGGGAGAGGGAGGTCCCATGAACTGGCCAGAAGCAGGCCACTCATCTGGCTCTAAGCTTTGCAGCAGCCGGTGCTAAAAAGACATGTGACTGGTGCGGGTTCAATATTGTGCACGAGCCACAAACCAGTCAGAGCTGAGAAAGGACAGGGCTGCTCCTCCTCCAAGACTCTGGCCTCTCCAGCTTCCTCGTGAGGAGCCCTGTGCATGGAACGGGAACGAGCTCAACATGCTCTTCCCGTGCACACGGCGGTGAGGGCCAGAGCTGGTCCTTACAAACCCAGCTACCCAGTGAGAGCTTAGCGTAAGCACTAACAGCAACGACCACAGTCACTGACTCCGTGTTAATTAGGTACCACACGGACACCAAGCCCTCTGCCTGCAGGACGTCAACTAATGCCCCCACTGGCCCTCTCAGGGAAGCAGCTGAACAGCTCGAGGCTGAGGCCTTCTGTTCTCAGGGGTTTCCACTTGACCAAGAGCCCCACAGCCCTACCTACCTGCTTTCCTCCTCCCTAAGCTGCAGAAGCCCGACGTGCCCCCACCTGACCACACAAAACCTGCCCCCGTTCCTGCCTGGCCCGCCCCAGCCCCCGGGCCGTGGCGTCCAGTCCTCGTCTATATTTACACGTGCTCCAGGCTCGAGCCAGCCCAAGAGAGCCGCACTCTGCCGGCTGCAGTTTCTGGGCCCTCAGAGAACTGCTTGTTTTAACCTTCGCCTGGAGCACCAAGGATTCCGAAAATGGCATCATGAGAAGCTGACTTGTTGCAGGGACATCTCAAGGACTCAGCGCCCTCCATCCCAGAGGGTCCCACAGGAGGAGGCCTGCAGGTCTCAGGAAACACTGCTGTTAACGCCTCCTCTGCTTTGATCTCAAACACACCTGACTCACACCCAGTCATGTGAACCAGCTCACCACGTGGGCCACTCACACGCTCAGGAGCAAACTGCCCACCTCCGATCTGGGCCACCTGTGCCCACACCTGTGCCCCTACCTGCAGCAAGTTGCTTCCGGAATCGGGGCAGAAGGAACGGAGGGTTCACGAGGACCAGCTTCCCGATGCACTCAGCCACCACCCCCCGGGTGCCCTCCTCGGCACCCTCACAGCGCTGGAAGAGCAGGGCCCAGATATCCTCAGCATAGGGCTTCAGGCTGTCGGGCTGGGCGGCCCCCAGGGCCTCCCGGAGCGAGTGCAGCAGCAGGTACTGCCGCCGGGGCTCGGCCTCGATCTGCCCCAGCAGGAAGGGCAGGAAGTCGGGCAGGTTCCCAGCACCCACGCGGCCCAGCGCGTAGGAGGCAGCCGCCCTCACGTCCTCACTGGGCGACCCCAAGGCATCCAGAAGCACTGCCTTCAGCTCCCGCTGGGGGCCCGGTCCAGCCACCTGGCCCACTTCGGCCAGCGACAGGAATGCCAGGACCTTGACAGCTGTGCTGGAGTGGGGTGACCTGGCATCAGAGACCAGGCGGTTTGCCGTGCCTGCCGCCTCCTGGGGACAGGCGGCTGCAAGGGCTGCCACACACCGAGCCAGCGAGTGGAACACCTGCTTGTGCAGGCCGGGCCCGCCGTCCATAGCCTGGTCATACACAGGTGCGGTGAGCAGGCTGATGAGCTCGGCGTAGTCCATGCACGGGGGGCGGGTTCCCACCAGAGCCTGCAGGAAGCCTTCGGTGGCCGCCAGCACACCTGCTGGCAGCAGGGGCGAACGCAGCAGCCGCAGCAGCTCTGTGAGCACAGGGCCACTGACCTCGGCCAAAGAGGCCGGCTGGGCCTGTGTCACTGTGGTGAGGAAGTCCACAGCCAGCTGGGCCACGTGCATGTCATTCTCGCTGACCAGGGCAGGCAGCTCGGCCAGCACAGCCCGCACGGCGGAGGGAGGGAGGCTGAGTCCCTGGCTCTGGGCCAGGGCATCCAGCGCAGCCAGTGTGGCCAGCCGCAGCGCCCGTTGGTTCTTGCGCAGGAACGAGGCCAGAATGGGCAGTGCCTCGGCCAGGATGGGCTGCAGGTCAAGCCGCAGCGGGGACACAGCTACCAGCGTCAATGCCTTGACAGCAGCCAGCCGGGTTATCTCATTCCGCAGGCGGTCCAGGAGGAGTAATAGTGAAGGCTTCAGGTCATCCCCGAGCCGGTCACCTAGGTGGCCCATGAGGTGGCCCATGCAGGAGATGGCCCGTTCCTTCACCTCCTGGTCCAGGTCGGTAGCACGGAGCCGTGCCAGGGTGGCCGCAGACATCTCTCCAATGTATGGCTCGGGGTCCAGCACCCGAGGTCTGTCCAGTGGCCACAGGGCCCGCACCAGCTCCTGCAGCACCAGCAGGGCCTCAGCCGCGATCTTGTAGAAAGGGTCAGCCACACAGGCTATGACAGGTGGCAGGAGAGTGGGCAGGTGTGGGTGGAAAACCTCGGGTGGCTCTGTGCCCAGCAGCCCCTGCAGGAAGGCCAGGGCGTCCATCCGGATGGTGGAGGAGCTGGAACGGTCTGTCAGTGAGAATATGATGCCTGGAAAGGGGTGGGTGCAAAGGTTACAGGGCCACAGACCCTGACCCAACACGGCCCTCCCTGGGTGCAGGGGTAGAGCCACTGCAGGTGTCTGAGCTGGACCCAGGCACTTGTGCCGCAGATCTGAGAGGTCAGGGCTTGGCTGGGGCCAGGGCTGAGGGACACAAGGCCAGGGAACCCATTTAAAACCAGGAAGTAGGGCCTGCACCCCAGCCTTGTTCTAACTGCTGGCAGTGGGGAACCACCATACGTTGCTGAACAGGGGCACCCTTGAGGACTGGGGACTCAGGTCCAGGTTCCGGAAGAGGCCCAGGACAACAGATACCTGGTTCCAGTCCTTCCTACCTGCTACCAGGACGGGCATGTGGTCTGCCAGGCTGCCGGGGAGGACACCCGCCAGCTCCGCGAGGAGGCTGAAGCAGCCCTGGCGGGCCCTGACACTCCGATCTTTAAGCTGCCGCTGCAGGGCCTTGATCACAAGGGGTACCTGTGGGCAGGGGTGGGGAGGTCAGTGACCACCCAGGAAACCCCCACACCCCACCCGCTGCTGGGGGGCTATGCCCAGGCGCACGCCCATGGAGAAGCCCCAGCACAGAGAGGATCGCTCCATCCCCAGCTCTATGTTACTTGCTCTGCACCAGGCACCTGATTCCACACTCAGACCTCTGAGGCAGCCACTACTCCTGGGCCCACTATACAGACAGGGAAGCAGGTACAGAGAGGTTAAGTAACCTGCTCAAGGCTACCCAGGCAGTCTGGCTCTCACCCCTGCATCCTGTGAAGGGGAAGCACTGGGGCCCCTTTCCCTTCCCCAGCTAGATTCTCTCTCCAGAAGAGTTCATCTGCTCCCTGAGCTTCAATAACTCCCAGATTGACATCTCCAACACCAGGCTGGTGTGCTAACTGCCCGTCTGACATCTCGACTCAGGCACCCAAGGACCTCAAACATAAATGTCCAGAACAGAACTCCAGACATCCCCCTCTCCACCCTCCGCCATCTTGGGGAGCTGCATCTCACACTTTAGCCAGAGCCCGGAACTCGCGTGACACCTCCCTGTACCTCACCCTCCGGATCCAATCCATCAGCAAGACCCAAAAGCTACCTCCTGAGTCTGACCGCTCCTCTCTGCCCTCACGACCCCAGCCGGAGACGCCACCCCTTCCCCCTGCACAGCTGCAACGGCCCCCACTGGTCTCCAGAGCCTACTCCCCCCATCCTGCTACAACCCATTCCCCACACAGCAGCCAGACTGAGCTTTTGCAAATGTGAAAGGGATCCTGTAATTCCCCTCCTGGGGCTCCCAGGCTCTTAGAATAAAACTGAAACTCCTTTGGAAGCCCTATTGGTCTTGTCTATCTGCCCCCAGCCTGTGTGGTCTGGGGCACTGACTTCATCTGTCTCTTCCCCACGTGCCCCAGCACAGAGCTAGGTACACAGTAAGCAGGCGGTCAGTACAGACACTTCAGTGGGTGGACAGAGGCTAGGGCGGGAGGAAGGGTGGGGAGATGGACGGATGGAAGGGTGTGAGCAGGTGGGTGGGTGAGTCGGGAGCAGGGTGGAGGGATGGGAGGGAGGTGAAGGCACGCCCACCTGTCCTCGCAGCATGTTTAGGTTGCTGCCGGTCTGGGTGGGCTCCTCCACGGCCTCCAGCCATCCCTTCGGGGGCCGTGTTTGCCGCAGCAGCACGATGTAAGCTCCGAAGACATCAGCCTTGACGTTCTCCTCACGTTCCTTGAAGCGACGGATGAGCGCGGGCGCCAGGGTACAGTGGAAGTCGGGCAGCAGGTCGGCCCTTGAGCCGATCAAGGCCGCCAGGCACTTGGCCGCTGCCCGGCGCACCTTCCAGCTCATGTCATCATCGTCACTGTACTCTTCCTCACTCTCTGGGGCAGGAACAAGACACCCGTGGAGCCCTGTGCACTGTGGCAGACGGGGAGCCACCTGGCCCCACCTGACCTGTCTCCCAGGAAGCAGAAGTGAGAAGCGGGGGCAGGGAGCAGAGCTGGGCCTGTGCTTCACCTCTCGATGACCACTAGTTACAGGCTATTAGGAATGTTACCTACCATTTAATGAACACCTACTGTGTGCTAGGGATGGCGCCAGGCACCTCAAATCCACCCCTTCATTCTAGCCTCACAACAACCTGTGTGACAGGGATGATCCCCCTGCTGTGGAGATGAGTGAACGGGGCTCCGAGGGAAACGGCTCGGCCCGAGTTACAGGAGCAGGAAACAACTGGAGTCAAACCCCGGTCCCCCCTCTGCCTCCAGACCCTTCGCTGTCCTGACTACACCAGGGAAAAAACCAACTTCCAAGTCTTCAGTGAGCACTTGGAGTCCATTTAGGACACGAAACTCTCCTTTGGTTTCAGTACTGGCTGTGTGATATTTCATTTACTGAGATTCCAGAAGAGAGAGACGATAGGGCCTCCCTTTGGTCTCCTGCCCACCCCCAGGTCCCAGTTTCTCAAGGGTCCTGATTCCAGCTTCCTGGCAGGACTAATCATGAGGAAATGCTGTTTTCGTGGGGCTTTCTACTCTCCAACCTCCCCTTAGGGGCCAGAGTTCAAGTCTTCACCACACCTCAGAAATGAGGGTGCCTTGAGCCCTATTTTATGGATAATAAGAACAAGGCTCAGAGAGGGTGAGAGACTCTCTTGAGGACACACAGCTAGTAAACAACAGAGCCAAGATTCAGGCCCACGAGGCCCACCCATATCACCTGGGGAGACACACATGAGGCTCAGAGGTGGATGGTCCTAACTAGGGATACCCCTAGGCACAGGCCCAGAGGCCAGGATGTTCCTACCCACGCTGCTCTGTAGACATCTCAGACTCTCAGAGCACCGGCATCTGGACAAACCATAGTGGGACGCATGGACGGTCCCACAGATGTGTCCTGTCAGCTTAGCAGACGTCCCTCTGAAGGACTGTTGTTTGTTATCATCTCCACCCTATACCACCCATGAAGAAACATCCATAGCTCCCTGTTACTGACAAGAAAATGCCCAATCTCCCTGGCTTGGCATTCGAGGCCCCAGCATGCCTGTCCAACCGGGACTCCTCCCATCCCATCTTGTTCCGAGCACCTTGTCAGGCCCCAAGTCCCTTGCCTCCATCAATGCCCTGCTTCCAGGGCCCAGGGGCATCCGTCTGAGTGACAGACAAGACCACAGGCATGGAAGGAAGGAAGCCAGTATGTCCATTCCCCATCCAGGCCTCTCTCTCCCTTCAGTGCTGATCACTCCACCATTAGAGCCTCACTCTGCTGGATTAAAGCACTGTCTCTCGGAAGCCATTACTAGACGGGTACAGAGCTGGCAGCATAGAGGTCAGGGGTTCTGGCTGACACGGCTCCAAGTCCCAGCTATGCCACTTCCTAGCAGTATTATCTCAGACAAATCTCTAAGTCTCAGTTTCCTTGTCTGAAATATGGGGATAATAATAAACACTGAGTTTTCTAGGGTTACTGTAAGAAACGTGAAAGAAGAGTGCTCAGGACATCAGGAGATGCTCAATAAATGACAGCAATTTTTACTGTTGTTACTGTGATCTGTGCAGAGAGGGTGGGGAGTTGTGGGCTCCAGATTTCCGAGGACAGGGCTAGAGCCTGAGGAAGAGCTGGGATCAAGATGGGGGCACCAAATGTGGCCCTGTCTTTGGCTGGGGAGTCCCAGGAAGGCTGCATCCATTTCCACCTTTCAGCCCCAATGACAAGTTGGCCACCCACCTTGCTCACTGAATTCACTATCCTCTGTCTCCATCTGTTCCTCGTCCTCGTCACTGTCGTAATTATAATTGGGGTCGTGCTTCAGGTACTCGAGGCAGAGGCTGGTCACATTGGGCACATGAGGGCCCATTTCCTTTGGGCACCTGTGGGGTGGGATGGGAGAGACTCCGCTGGACCCAGGCAGGACAGAGTAAGGGGTGGGGCCCAGTGGTGAGTCCTGAGATCTTACCGCTTTGAGGCCAGTATCCTGCCCCCACCCCATCCCCACTAACTTCCAAAAAAGCCCAGGGGCCCTGGTCTTCTGGCAGCCCCACTGCACCTACTTCCTCAGGAAGGCCTCAAAAGCCTGGAGGCAGGACTCTCGGAGCTCATCGTCATCCAGGTTGCAGAACTCCTCCACCAGGGGCACCAGGCGGTCCAGGTGGGCCCCTGCAGGGACAGGTGGGTCACTGAGGCCAGGCCAGACTCTCTCCCAGGCTCCCCCAGCCCACAGCACTCAGCCTGTCCCTGCACCTGCAGCCCTGACTACTGCAAACTCAACTCAGGCTTCAGAGTCAAGTAGATTGGGTTCTAGCCCTGACTCTGCCACCCATAAGCTATGGGACCTTAGGCACATCACAACTTCTCTGATCTCAGTCTACTCATCTTCACAGTAGGGGTAACAACATCTACCAGGCAGAGATTTTGTGAAGCTTGATGATATGACACGAAGAGCTCCGCCCAGGCCCTGGCACACAGTAGGCACTCAATAAGCAGCATCTGTTGAAACCATTACTTGTGTCCCTGCCTTATTTCCTGCACTAGGCTATAGCCCTGGATGGGAAAAGCTGGGAGGCAGGTACTGCTATTATAGACCAGGCAGGAGGGGCCCCGCCTGTTCCCTGGGGCTGCAGAGGCTTCCACCCTAGCCTTCTCCAACTACACCCTTCCCCACTTCCTGCCAATCAACCCTGAACCTTTGTCCAGTCCTGTGCTGGCCTCTTTCGCAGGTCCATGTTCCTGAGGGTGGCCAAGGGGTGGCTGCTGTTTGGGGGTATATGGGCAGAAGGTAGACTGCAGGCTGGGTTCCCAAGTGCGCTTGAAAGGTCCCTTGCACTGAGAGAGCCAGAGGGAAGGGAAAGCAGACCTTGACCAACTCTACCCACACTGCCTTGTTCTAGTCGAGAATGAACTCCAAGGTGTTTGAGAATAAACTCAAACCTGATTGCAGGGCTCCATTTTTATAAAACTTATCTCTGGTGACAGAAAGCAGATCAGTGGTTGTTTGGGTGTGCAGCAGAGGGAGGGACAGACTGCCAAGGGGCACAAAAAAGGCTTTTAGGGGTGATAGAAATGTTCTGCATCTTGACTGTGGTGGTAGTTTCACGGGTGTATGAAAAGGTCAAAACACACTGCACACTTTAGTGCAGTTTATGGTAGGTACATTATCCCCCTATAAACAATTTTAAAAATTCAAACCTGGCTTATGGGTTATTAAGGTACATTTGTCAAAATAGGATAGAATATATTTTATTTAACTTCTGCAGCATAATTTGTAACGATCCGCCAGTAGGTAGGGCTCAGAAGCACGTGCAGCTTGGGGCCGCCCTCCTCCTTCCAGGAGCTTCTGCCCCGCCCCATTATCGAGGAAGCCACCCGCCCCTTTCCCCCAGAACCTCCCCGCCTCAGCCCCGTCCCCTTATGAAGGAGGCGGTCTGCTCCAGACCCCGCCTCTCTCCCTGGGCCACGCCCCCTTACCGAGGGCCCGGTCCCATCATCTAGGAAGCCACCGGCCCCTTTCCCCAGAACCTCCCCGCCTCAGCTCCGCCCCCTCGTGAAGGAGGCGGTCCGCTCCAGGCCCCGCCCCTCTCCCTGGTAGCGAGGGCCCGGCCCCCTTACCGAGGCGGTGGCCGGCCTGGCGGCCGACGCTGCCCAGACACTGGATCAGGGTGCGGATGGCAGCGGGGCTGGCGGGCGCGCGCGGGCCAGGGAGCCGGTCCAGCAGATGGTCGGCGAGCTCGACGAAGAGGTCGGTGCTGCAGGCGGCCGCCAGGTGGCCGAGCGCCCCGACGGCCCGCTTGCGCACGGCCAGGCGCGGACTGCTCAGCTGCGGCAGCAGACAGTGCAGGAGGCTGGCGTGGAAGGCGCCCAGCGGGGCGCCCAGCCTGGGGAGCCGCAGGGGCGTCGGCGGGGGCCCACCCAGCGGGCAGCCTGGGCCAGGCCCCTTCCTGCTCCCCATGTTCTCCTGGCCTCCTCCCGGGAATTAACAAATTATGACAACCCAGTGGCCCTTGGTAAATGGAAAGGTGCCCCGCAACTGTGTGGAGTGATTATTTATTATTATTACGGGAGAGAAAACAGAGAGGGGAGGGGACTTTCTCAAGGCCACTCAGTCAAGAAATGCAAGGCTCGGTCTTGAACCCAGGTGACCAAGCTCCCAGCCTGGGCAGAGGGCTTCACGGTAATGGAGTGTGGGGGGCTCCGGTGGGGCCGTCCCGAACTCCTGGGAGTCTGGGCCTTGCCTCAATGCCCACCCTGCCTCAGTCTATGCCCCTCGCTGAGACCAGAGTGGTCTAAAGTCTACTTCTGACCTGGTCACTCCTCTGCCTAACTCCTTCGATGGCTCTCCAGTGCCCTTGGATAAGCTGAGCTCGGCTCCAGGCAAGAGGCAACCCCAGAAAATGGTTTCTGCGCAGGAGAACGCAGCCCCTGCTGGCCTCGCAGCTTCTGTCCTCACCTTCAAACCAGGCCTGTGCATTTCTCTCCCATACATAGCCTGAGACCTTTTCTCTCCGCAAGGATACACTGACCTCACCCTCCCATATCTCTCTGCCCTGGGTTTCATTTATTTATTTGTTCACCTGCTATGTGACAGAGCCTGTGCTGGAAGCTCCAGTAAGCAAGACAGACTCTGGTCCTAGGGCCTGACCTCATGGAGTTTTCAGCAGAGCAAGTGCCTCCCAGGCACCTCACTTTCAGCATGCCCCAAATTGAATCCATTGCCTACACACCTGCTCTCCTGGAGGGCTCCCCACCACAGCCAACGGCCTTAAGCCTGTGCCGCAAGTCAGTAAAGCCAGACACCTGGGCGTCATCTTTGTCTCTGCCTCTCTCACCTGCTGCGAGCTCTGTGGAGTCCACCTCCTGAATACACCTGAATTCACCTGCCTGCAGAGCTTCCTACCCAGTCTCCCAGGCTGTTCAACCCCCTCCCATCCAGCATGCACACTGCAGACAGAAAGATCAGTCTAAAACACACAAGTACGCTCACGGCGCTCCTCGGCCCCTGCCGAAAACCCCTCCACGGGCTCCTCACACCTGCAGTCTAATCGTTTGTCACCCACCCTCCCTGGCTTCTGCCCAACTCTCAGGCCTTACCTGTCCACACCGGCCACTCCACATTCCACCCAGCCCCACGAGTGTCTTGCACAAGCCCCGGGGCCCTGTGTCTTCTCCTGCCTCTGCTCCCTGGGCCGAGGGCAGTCTCCCCCTCTAGTGTCCCCCTTACGCCCGTCCATGCCTGGCCCAGTCCTGCCCATCCCTCAAGGCTCAGCTCCAGCAGGAACCTCTTTGGGAAGGTTCCGGTGCCCCAGGTGGGCCAGGGGCTCCTCCTCTGACCTCCTACAGGCCCTGCTCTTATCCTCGTTGGTGCTCTTACTCCATGCACAGTTTCTGTGTCTATAAGCGCCTCCCTAGGAGTGACCGAGACTGAGCTGACTCCATGTTCCCAGCACTAGGGTAGCCGCTGACATCTTTCTGGCCACAGAGTAGGGGCTCAAGTCTTGGGAGGTTGAATGAATACTTTAAAAATGTGCAGTGCAATTTAAAACAAAGGCCCAGCTATATTAGCCCAAAAGAAGAAAAAGAAAGAAAGAAGGGGTTGAAGGGGAAGATGAACACATGGGCTTCAGCTACAGAGGGACCTGAGTTCAAATCCTAGGTTCTGCCATTTACTGACACTGTGACTCTGGGCAGGCCTCAGAGCCTATAAAATTGTGACAAAGGTGCTCTCTTTCACAGGGCTGCCGGGATGGTTAAGGAGCCCCGATCACAGGGCCTGCTGTGCAGGAGGTGCTGGCTCTGTGGATTTGAGGCCCTCCTTATTCCCTTTGCTCCCCCTCCCACCCTGCTCCTCACTGCCCAGGGTGGCCTCCTGCACCTGCTCAGCATGTCAGAGAGGATGTCCAGGGCTTCCAGCTGCACGGCCACGTCCTCCTGCTGGGCAATGGCACTGGTGAGCTGGCCGGTGATCTTCCGGCACACGTTGGTGGCCAGGCCAGAGCCTGCACAGAGCACAAGGTGAGCACTGTGAGTCCCAGGGCTGGCCTCCACCCCTGGTCGGCCTTTGCTCTGGTTGTGTTCCTGAGCCCATGTCCCCAGCAATCCTGCTGACCCAGGGAAGCCAGGACTTGCTTGGTCCAAGGGGTGACCCACAGTCTAACCAAACTAAAGGAGACAGCTAGCAGAAGTGAAGAACTGATGGCTGACCTGCTGGCTGGCTCACCCCACACCCAACCCCTTCTGCCTTCTGCCTTCCACTAGGGAAGTGGGAAAAGTTAAGCACTTCCTTTCCTAGACTCCCTTGCTGCTAGGAGTGGCCAGGTGACCCTGTTGTGGCCAGTGAGATATAGGTCAAAGTCTTCTGGGACCTTCTGGGGAAATACATGCTTTTTTATAAAGGGCAAGAGATACAGGCATAGACCTCAACCCTGTCCTGATTAAGCTGCTAAATCGATTGCTGCAAAAATGGAGTGGCTGATCCCTCCAGAATTATGTGAGAACAACTACCCCCAACATCTTCAAGCTGCCATTAGATTGTTACTTGCAGCTAGAAGCATTGAGCTTAAGTAGATCTGAGTCCGAATTCTCTGCCACTTACTAGCTGGTGGATCTTAGGTAAGTCCCTTCACCTACATGAGCCTCAATTTCTTTATTGGTAAACTAGGACAAATAATTACAGTCCCTGGGACCTGGGTACCTGTGGCTGCAGGGGGGAGCTCCGAGAGGACAGTCTTGAGGCCGATGCCCGCGATATCTCGGAGCTGCTCCTTGTCTGAGCGCATGTTGGCACAGAGGGCGTCCACGATGGTCTCCACCTGGTACTCCTTCACTTTGCCCACCAGAGGACCCAGGCTGAGCAGGGTGGGAGGGAGAGGGTTGAAAAGCCCCAGGCTCAGCCTGAGTCAGCCTGCTCCTTAGGTCCCCTCATGCCTATGGGGCCACATGTGCTGAGGAAAAGGCCCCAGACCAATATGGAACTCTCTGTTTTGCTAGAAAGGCACCCTCTGGCTATGCCAGCATCATTCCTGGCATCTCCCAAACCTGCATCTCCTCCCAGCTTTTGCATCTCAGTATATGGCCAAACCATCACACCCTGTAACCTCAGCTGAAAAATAAGAAATGCCCAAGAGCAGTGGTTCTCAAACAAGCATTTATCAGAAGCCCCTGGAGGACTTGTTAAAACGCCGACTGCTGGGTCCCACTCCAGATTTTCAGATTCAGGAGGTCTAGGGGGGCCCAAGAATTTGCATTTCTAGTAGATGCTGATGCGAGTGGTCCAGGGACCACACTTTGAGAACCTCTGCCTTAGAGCCTTGCCTCTCAAAATGTGGTCACAGATCAGCATCATTAACATCACCTGGAACTTGTCAGAAATGCGGGATCTCGGGTCCTACCCTAGATCACTGAACCGAAACCTGCATTCAGTGCACTCCCCAGATGATTCAAACGCACATGAAAGGTTAAAGCCGGCTGCACCAGAGGCACTGGTTCTCAGCCTTAAGTGTGCATCGGCGTCCCGTGAGGCCTTTAAAAAACTGTTACCTGGGTGCCAGCCCCAGAGAGTCTGAATTAATTGGTTTCAGGTGTGGCCTGGACATTGGGAGGTTTTTTTTTTTTTTACCTCCCCAGGTGATTCTAACGTGCAGTCAAGGTTGAGAACCTCTGACCTAAATGAGTGGTTCTCAGCTGTCGGTGTGTATTAGACTACCAGATGCCTGGGTGCCATATTCTCACCTGCCTGCCTCAGCCTCCTCCCTTCATACGGCCCCTCCTGAATCTGAATCCCTGGGTGGGGAATATACAGTTTGAACAAGGGTTCCAGGTGACCACATGCATACCAGTTTGCAAACCGTGGCTCCATCAACTCCTGCAGCTAAGTAATCCTGGGGTCCTTCCATTCGACCTCCAGCAGCACTGGTTCCACTAGGGCTGATACTGCCCCTAGGGGTGTTTTGGAAATTTATGGGGGCCTTTTTCAGTCTTCATTACTATTGAGATGGCACTTCTGGCTTTTACTGAGCAGGGGGTGGCCGAGGAGGGTAGAAAGACCATACTGCAAAGCAAACATTGTTCCATGTCCTGCAGGAGTTTCTACCATCCCACTGGGCTACAGGTAAAAAACCTTCTATAAGGATCTGAGTCCAGAACCTAATTTCAGTATTTTTTGCACTATTTTAATATACCCTAAATTTTCCAGGAACGTAATTATCAGGTAAATTGAAGGAAGATTGTACTTTCTGTCCTGGGAAACTTTAGAAGGAGACGGTCAGCATTTTGGAAAATCTCACTAAGAGCAGTGCTGTTCATGGTATCGGGGTGCCCAGTGTGCACGCCTGTCTCCACCTGTGCTGCCGCGGCACAGCAGAGTCCACACTCAGGTGCAGCTCCACCTGGCATCGTCATCACTTCTGTCAATGCCCAAGCATTTACATTTGAAACATGCTATTTTACTATAAATGACATTCCTTCTATTTCTCCTTTATGTTACAGTGTAGATTATTATATATACCATTTTGTAATTAATGTGTAGAGGTAGGTTATATTATGTCTGAATTTCATTTCATGATAGGAAAAGGGTATTTCAGACCACATGTTGTAAAAAGGGGGTGCTGGATCTGCCAGTGGGAAACCTGTCTCTACTCCACAGCCAGAGGGGTGCTCCCAGACCGCAAACCTGACCACGTTCCTGCACAAAACCCCTTGCTGAGTTCCCTCTGCTCCTGGGATCAAGCTGAAATTCATTAACACAGCCCAGAATGCCTGTGCCTGGCTCAGAGAGTACTGTGGGAGGGGCAGTGCCCCAATTCTCTGTGGACCCTGCCATTCCTCAGCCCCCTCGCTCCCTCCCCTCCCATACACACGTGCCCTGAACACACCCAGGTCATGCTTTCTCAGCTCCAGAGGTAACTAGCCAAAGGTCTCAGGACCACCACCTCAGGATGCCCATGGCAAAGGCTTTTGGGGAGCCTGGTGTCCCTTCAGCCCTAGCCACTCTAGTGCATGCCACCCTGACCTTCCAGCAGCTGGCACCTGCATCTGCATCTGAAGGCTTTCTCGGGGTGGAGATGCCAGGGAATGCACAGCCCTCCACCTGACTCCAGGAGCAGCCGTCACCCAAGGACTGACAGAGAGCTGGCGGGGGGGAACACTCCAAGGGGCAGCCCCTACCCTGCATCCTCGGGGCTCCAGTAGGGTAGGCCCCACTCGCCCACAGTGCTAACTTGCTTGATAACGCATGCTTTCCTGGCTTCTTCCTTCCCTGCCTCACTTCCCTATTCCCCTAACGGGCTTTCCTGAGATCAGTCCCCAAATAAACTTACACTTGAATCCTTGTGTCAGGGTCTGCTTCCTGGGGAAGCCAGACTAAAGCACTGTCCAACTCCATGGGGCCCCAAGAGCTGCTCAGCATTTCTTCTCTCGAGGCTGTACCCCACAGAGGCAAGGATCCCTGCGGTGCTCCCACAGCAGGCAGGCCCCCTCCCCCGCTCCCACCATGGCTGACACTGACCACTTGACTGCTAGGTTCTGCACTTCGCCGTTCTTGTCCTCCAGGAGCCTGAGCAGCATCTTCACCACCTTGCGCTCACTGTCCTCGTCCAGCTGGATGGAGTCCTTCTGCAGCTCCGACATCAGGTCACTGGTGGCCATGAACCTGAGCAGGGAGAGCAGAGGATCGCTGAGCAGCTCCTGGGCCCGGTGATTTGGGCAGCCTCTTGAGTTCCCCCAGAAGCAGACCATCCGGGCTGCAGGCATGGTCAGTGTCACACACATGAGGGAGACCCACGGGTGTGTGATAACCGACTGCCATGTCATGGCGACTAGGAGTGGCACAGCACACTGGCTAAATGCTTAGAGCTCCAGAGTTGGTGCTCCCGCCTCTGCCATCTACACAAATGTGAACTTGGGCAAGTCATTTCACCTCGCTGAGCCTTAGTTTACCTGTCTGAAAAATGGGGACGAGGAGAGCATCTGCCTCATGGGGCTGGATGAAAGATAAAATGAGGCAATGTATGTGATGTGCTGAGTACATGGTGAGCGCTTGGTGGCACTGCCTCTGTTATAATGGCGTATTAATTATTCACGTCTCACAGCTGCCAGGACAGGGATGCCTGAAGGTCCGACAGACACAGTGCAACCAAGTCAGTGTCAGCAAGAAGGCTCTTGACTAGACACGCTGGCCCTGTCCACCCCCTCCTCAGAGAAGCGACTTGGCCCCTGCCCTCAGACCAGCGGCTCTCAAGCTGTAGCCAGCCCCAGAATCACCTGCAGGACGGGTTAACACAGCTGGGCCCCACCCTCCAATTTCTGAATCACTGGGTCTGGGCTGAGGCCCAAGAATTTGCACTTCTAACAATTCTGGATGATGCTGAGGGGCAGGGACCACGCTCAGAGAACCACCGCCCGGGGCCGTGCTGACGCGCCCTGGGCATATTTTGGCCACTGACATCAACAGCTGACCAGTGTCCAGACAGGGCTCGCTGACCGAGGGGGCAGGAGAGCCAAGGGCTACCCACCCACAGGGCATGTGATATTGCAGTGGGAGTCTGAGCTAGAAGGCCACGGAGGGCTGGGGCTGCTGGGCGTGACGCAGCACCATTGGGAGAGCAATGTCTTAAACTGGAGGCCCTCAGCTGTGTCCACCTTGCAAATGTTTTTCAAAAATTTGAATTTCTTATCAACATTTGAAAATTGGGAGTTGACATAAAAGTATTGACATCCATGGGGCTGGCCAGGTGATGTGCTGGTGAAGTGTGCATGCTCCACTTCGGCAGCTGGGGGTTCAGGAGTTCGGATCCTGGTGTAGACCTAAACACTGTCCATCAAGCCATGCTGTGTTGGCATCCCACATACAAAACAGAGGAATACTGGCAACAGATATTAACTCAGGGCCAATCTTCCTCACCAAAAAAAAAAAAAAAGAAAGAAAGAAAGAAAGAAAGAAAAGAAGCACTGACATCCAGATTTTTCTGAAAACAGGATATTTGAATACAACTGGGTCTACAGTCCCTGGAGACACTAACTAGCTCGAGTCAAGTCATGGCTGCCCTCTTTAGGTGGGACACACATTTTCCAGGTTACCAGGTTCCCACCAGGCCCACTGCACCCACTTACTGGCTCCTGCAGGCACTTGAGTGGACACCTGAGGAAAAGGAGGACAAAACAGCAAGGAGAGAGGCTGTGGAGTCAGGACCAGAGTGTGGTGGCTCCAGAAAGTCTCCAGTTTTGCAGACCCACCAGGCCACCCACCTCCTCATACCAGCCTTGCTTTCGGGCTTGAGCAAGTCAACCAAGAGCCCTACCCACCAAGCTTCCTGGGGCAAACTTGGTCACAGCGGGGATTCTGGCCTCATCTCCGCAGGCTCAGACCTGCGCTTCATGTCATGGCGCTCCACAGCACTCTGCTACCAGGAGAGCACCTGTCACAGCATGGCTGTTTATTTTCAAGAGCTGGCATCAGCCTCAAGCTGTTGAGAGGAGGAGGCTGGGCTGCAAGTGAAGAGGGGTGGCAGGGCTGACCGTGCCCGGCTCTAGGCCTGGTCACTGCAGGAGAAGCGGCCAAGGTAAGGTGAAGGAGGACATCTGGATCTGAGCCAAGCCAAGGCCGGGGTAGGCACATGCACTCCTAAGCCTGCCCAGCTGAGGGGACGTTCTGAGAAGGCAGGCAGGGTCTCTAAGCCCTGTTTCTGCCGCAGTCCACGGGGACCCAGCTCAGCCTGGCAACCCAAGGGATGTGCGTCTTTGCCCAAGATGAGCCTCCCGCCTCCCTCTTTCTTTTCCACCAGTTGAACTCCTATTCATCCATCAAGGGCCCAGCTCAAATGTCCCAGTCTCACGGATGACTTCTCTGACCACCCTGCCCTATCCCAAACCCACACTCCCTAATCACACTTGGTTTCCCCAGACAGGATTCGCTCAGAGCACTCTGCACGCCTCCACTGTAGCACTTTTCAAATTGCGCTACAAGCGTTGTGCACCAGTGTGTCTCCCCCATTATATGTGAACTCATGGGGCCCATCAAGTTCAGCTCTGGGACTCAAGCCCTAGCAAAAAACAGGTCTGAAGAGGGCCTGGGAGGTAGGGCAAGGGCAGGAGGGGAAGGAGGGAGAGAGCCAGCCCCTAAAAGGCTCAGAGCCAAACAACTGAGTGGAAACCCAAAATCAGAAACCAACCCTCCTGAAATATGCCTCGGCATTTCAGACACCCCCGAGTTCCCGCAAACACCCAGCTCTCAGAGAAAGAAAGCTGTGTTGTGTGTATGCCTGTGGTGGTGGTAGTGGGGGGGGGGGGGGGGGGGTGTACAGGAAAGCGTAGATAAGAGCTTGAGCACCGAAATTTGGCTTTAAGTAAATATACTGGTCTTGCCATTTATCAACTAGGTGACCTTGGGCAACTGACTCCTCTCAGAACCTCAGTTTTTCCAACTATGAAATAGGACATTTTCTTTGCCCCACCTCATAACATCCTCAGGAGGTTTTAACAGGAGAACCAGTTCTTAGCATGAGGCAAGTTGGGGAAACTAGGCTCAGAGAGGTTGCAGGAACTGCCCAAGGTCACACAGCAAGTTGAAAGAAGAATCAGCCTACTGGTCAGGTCTCCTGGCTCCTCAACAAATACTACTGTGTTTTCAAGAAAGGACTTGGGATTCCTGCAAGACCTCCCCCGACTTTATTCGTTTGACTGTTGGAGTCTGAGTGGGAATGGAGCAGCCTCCTACCCACGGAGCGGGGGCCCAGGAACGACAGGGATCAAAGGCTTCCTTCACCCTGCCTGAGACCCCCATGTGCAGTCACTGCCCGCCTCCAGGAGCCAGAGGACAGCGTCTCAGTTTCACTCCAGAGAAACCCTAGAGGCCACTCAGCTGAGACACTCGGCCACATGGGTGCCCGGACAGCTGGTCAGGACCCAGCCCCCGGGTATTCCGACTTTAAAAATAGACGCCATCCTCATATGCTTGGGGAGGTTTTAAGTGTTCTCGGGACCGCTGGCAGAGCAGGCGGAAAGGGCCTCTCAGGCTCCTGCTGGAGGGCCAACTCCCTCTCCTGGAGACTGGACCTGGGGCCCAAGAGACAGCGGTGCAAATCCCCTCAGCAGCTGGGCAGCCATGTGACCTTGGGCACATCACTTCACCTCGCCCAGCGTCCGGCGAACAGGGAAAACAATAAGGACCACCCAGGCAGATGGGGAGACGGAACGCAATTACACTGGACACGTGCCTGCATGGAGCCTAGGACACAGGACACATTCACTGAGCGCCTACTGTGTACCCAGAGCCAGCTCCGGGATGCAGAGGGGACGCGCACAGCGCAGGACCTCTGGGGATCCCAGGGCGACAGTGATGCAGTAGAAACACGGGGCCAGGGAGATGTTGTGGGAGCCCAGGGCCGGTGCCTAACCCTGCCTGGTTGTCAGGAGGCATCTCAGAGAGGTGACAACTGAGTGGGAGCTAGCCAGGTGGAGGGGGGATGAAGGGCATGGCAGACTGCTGATGTGCTCGGAATCATAATAGTGTCCATTTATTCAGGGCTTACCTGGTGCCAGCTGCTCAGCCCCGTGTATTAACTCATTTCATCCTGACACCAACCCTCTCAGGTGGGTTCTGTTATTATCCCTATCTTACAGAAACGGAAGCTGAGGCTCAGAGGGGTCACACAGCCAGTCAGTGGTCGTGGTCAGGGTCTGAGCCCAGGACTGTGGCTCAAAGGCTCTGCTACAGCTCTATGAGAAGCTCCTGAGCGGTGCCGAGAAACAGGCTCCAGGAGGAGGCAAGGCTCAGAGCAGGAGCGCAGCGCCTCAGTCTCCCCACCTGTCACGGGGCTGGAACCCAGACCTCACTAAGATCAGCCTCTGTGTTACACTGACCTGGATTTCGACCCCAAGTCCTCCCCTTTCCAGCTCTGCGACTGCACCCAGGCCCTTCTGGCCTCTGAGCCTTGGTTTCCCCATCTGTGAAATGGGGATAAAGTGACAGTATGCTCAGTAAGTGAGCACAGCCACGCTGGGTTTCTGCGGGCTGCTTTCAGCTCAGAGGGTCCAGAACAGGCTGTGTGACCACGGACCAATCCCTTCCCCTCCCTGGGCCTCAGTTTCCCCCTGAGGATGAGGGGGTTGAACCAGAGGTTTCCTCCATTCTTTTCGGCCCTGTTCCCGGGCGGCTCAGAGATGCTGGTGGAGGGGGAACAAGAGGAAAGGGAGTGGCAGACCAAACCTGGAAGCCCCCACCCCAACCATCACCTACCTGCGCCTGCAGCCCCTTCCTTCAGGGGGAGGGGAGGGGAGAGGAGAGGGTGCCCGATCCAGTGCAGGGGGGAGGCCCAGGGCGATTTCGAGAAGAGGGCGGGGCTGAGGGGGCTGAGGGTATCAGAGAAAGTCAGCCCCCGGGTGGTGGTCCCAGAAAGAGGCCGGGTTTCAAGGCTGGGAAGAAGAGGCGGGCTCCGGGACCCCGAGGCCGAGGGCTGCTCGGTGCGGTGCAGGGGGGCCTGGGCGCAGGATGCGGGGAGAGATGAGGGCAGCGCACAGACGGAGAGAGGGGGCAGAAGAAGGGTGCAGAGGGGCGAGCAGGGCTCCGAGGAGGGGCCGAGGCCGGGCCGGATCCGCAGGGCGGGACGGAGCGGGATCGGGGGAGTGGAGAGGGCCGGCCCCCAGCAGGGGAGAGGGGGCCGGAGCCTCCGCGGGGCGGGGGGCGCGGGGCGCGGGGCGCGGGGCGGAGCGTGCCGCGGGGACAGGAGGCCGGGGCTGCGCCGCCGCGGGGCACGGCCGGCGCCCCGGAGGGAAGGAGCCCGCGGGCCGGGCGCACCTGAAGTCCTTGTCGCTGGACGTCATCTTCTCCAGCAGGCTGGAGATGTGGAAGGCGGCGGTGCTCATGGTGGCTGCGCGCCGGGCCGGCGGCCGGAGGGAATATGGCGGCGCGGGCGCCCCCTCCCCCGCCTCGGCGGGGCTGCGCTCAGCAGACAGAAATAGCAGCCCCCGCCCAGCCCGGCGGCGCCGCCGCGCTCACCGTCGGCCTCGGGCCGCGGGAGGCGGAGAGGGGCCGAGGGGGCCCTGCAGTCTCGGCCCGAGCGCCAGCCCGTGTCCCTTGCCCCCGCCCCATGGACAGCCCAGCACCGGCTTGCACACCCCGAAAGACGGGGAGCTCACCACCTATGACTGGACTACTCCTCCCTATGGCTCCCGTGGGTACCACCTCTGCCTTCTGGGCCCCTCCGCCCTGCCCGCGTGGCAAGGGCATGGTATCCAAGAGTCTCAGGTTAGAATCCCAGGTCCACCAGTCCCCGTCGTGTAACCGTGGCCAAGTTACTTTACCTCTCTGAACCTCAGTTTTCTCATCCGTAGCCATTCAAGAAACAGGAGCTGCTATTGTAGGTCAGGCCAACCAAAGCACTTGTCCCCCCACCCCACTCCCCATGCTGGCCTGCCCCAGACAGAATCTGAAGGGTGTACCCAGTCACACCAGGCCCCTTGCCTGCCATCCCCAACCCTCAGGCTGTCAGAGTCAGTTTCTTCCTTTTATAGCAACGCTGCTGAGATGCACAAGGTCACACAGCGAATGAATCTGGGATGGAATCAGGACTGACCCCAGGCCCCTTAATGCCTTGGGCAACAATCCTCCCACGAAGCTGCCCACAGGTGGGTACAAGTTCAGAGCGAGAGGGTCTGTAGGAGGACAAGGAGAGCCTGTGCATCTCTAAAAGCCAGGAGGCTGCTGGCTTTGGGAAGGAGAGTAGCATATGCTTTGTAGCAAGACAACTCTGGGTTCAAATCCCTGCTGGGCTGCTTCCTGACTGTGAGGCGTTGGGATAATGACACAACCTCTCTGAGCTGTTTTTCTCACCCATAAGATGGCGATAAAGAAATCTTTATAACGCACTTTTCGGGTACCTGTTATTATGGGTACCTGGCTTCTAGAGCAGTGCTGTCCAACAGAACTTTCTGCAGTGTTGGAAGTTTCCTACGTCTATGCTATCCAATATGGTAACCACTAGCCACAGGTGGCTGTTGAGCACTTGAAATGTGACTAGTGAGACTGAGGAATTGAATTCTTAATTCTGTTTACTTTTAATTAATTTCAGCTTAAATAGCCACCTGTGGCTAGGGGCTACCACAGTGGACAGTGCGGTTCTGGACAGTAGGGACACAGTGGGGGACTAGACATGCACAGCCCCTGCCCCTTGGGGACCTTACATTGTGGTAGAGGACAGCAGCATTAAGAAAGAAAGAGATTTGATAAGGAAAATAAGAGCTACACAGAAAATAAAAGAGGGCGAGGTGACAGAGAGTGCCTCGGGGGTGGAGGGGCAACTTTAGCCAAGGTGGTCAGGGAGGGCCTTTTTTGAGAAAGAGACACTTGGGCTAACATCTGAACAGATGAAAAGGAAGCAGCTGGGCAAAAATTTGAGGGAAGATCTTCCCAGAGGGGGAACAGCAAGTGCAAAGGTCCTGAGGTGAGAACAAGCCTGATGTATTGAAGAAAAGGCAGTGGCTGGAATGTGGTCAGTCTCCTAGGGGAGGAGTTGAGGTCAGAGAGGTGAACAGGGGTCACATCATTCATGGCCTTTCAGACCAAGGTGAGGAGTTGGGATTTTATGCCAAACACTAGGCAGCCACTGGAGGGCATTAAGCAAGGAGGTGACACATTTAATTTAGAAAGATCCCTCTGGCTGCTGAGCAGTCATGCAATCAAGGATGATGGTGGTTTGCATTAAGGCGGTGGTAGTGAAGCGGGGAAGAAATGGACAGATTCGGCTGTATCATAGAAATAGATACAGCAGCTTTGCTAAAGGAGTGGATGTTGAGGTAAGGGAAAGGGAGGAATTACAGGTTTTCAGCTAGAGAAGGTGAGTAGATAGTGGTGCTTTTTATGGGGATGAGGATGTCAGGGGAAGGAACCCTTTGGGAGGAAAGAGAACTGGAGAGCTCTACGTTGACCTGTTATCTTGGAGATACCAACAAGACATCCAAGGAGAGATGTCACATTGAGGAGTGGATGCCCCAGGTGCATCAGGGGAGAACGCTGCATCAGAGAGAGAGGTGAAGGGAAGGTCTCACAGAGATGGTATTTAAAGCGATGGGCATGTACAAGGATGGATGATACTAAGTGTTATCGAGGATGTGGAACAAATGGAACTCTTCTCTGGTGCTGGTGGGAGCTTTAAATGGGTGCAACTACGTTGGAAAACTGCTTGGCAATAGTTACAAAAGCTAAGCGTATATCTACCTTGACTTACTCAGATTAGCAATCCTACTCTCGAGCGTGTATCCAAGATACATGAATGCATGTGTATTCAACAAAAGAATGTTCAGAGCAGCTTTGTTCAGAATAGCCCCAAATTAGAAACAACCCAAGCGTTCATCAACAGGTGAGTGGATAGACAGACTACGGTATATTCATAAAATGGAATACTGCACAGCAATGACAACTAGCTCACTACTCCTGCACAAAATAACATAAAGGAATCTCAGAGATTCTATACTGAATAAAAGAAGCCAGACTTAGGAGTGCATACTGTATGGTTCCGTTTGTGTGAAGTTCCAAACCAGGCAAAACTAGTCTAAAGAGGACAGAAGTCAGAATAGTAGTTGCCATTGAGGGATACTGACTGGAAAGAACACAAGGCAGCCTTCTTGGAGTGCTGTAAATATTCTCCGTCTTGATTGGGGTGATGACTATGCATATATAACATATGTAAAACTTTATTGAGCTGTTCTTTACTACATGGAAATGTGTCCGAAGGAAAAGGAGGGATATGAAATAAATATGCAGTTTAACAAGGTTTTTTTTTTCCTGCCTAACAATATTTTTGGAATAATTTTACAAGTGAATATAGTTCTACAAGTCAAAAATAATTAAATAATGATAACTTTGGAAACCAGTTTGGCAGTTTCTTATAAAGTATAGTTACCATATGACCCGGCAATTACACTCACAGATGTTTACCCAAGAAAAATGAAAACGTGTGTTCACACTAATCCTTGCACATGAATGTGGCAGCTTTATTTATGAGCACCAAAAACAGGAAACAAACGTCCATCAGCTCGTGACTGGAGAAGCCCACTGTGGCGCATTCATAGAGTGCAATTTTACTTAGCAAAAGAAAGGAAGAAATGCAATAAAATGGATAAATCTCAAGAACATTATGCTAAGTGAAAGGAGGGAGACATAAAGTCTACATGTTATTTGATTCCATTTATGTCAGATGTCCAGTGGTCGCCAGGGGCTGGGGGCAGGGCAGCAATGCAGAGTGAGTGCAAAGCGGTCCGAGGGGACTTTTTGGGAAGGAGGAAATGTTTTGTATCTTTATTGTAGTGGCGATTACATCGTATTGTAGTGGTCAAAACTTATCAAGATGTACTCTTAAAAATGGCAGACTTACTATATGTAAATTACTCCTCACTAAAGCTGATTAAAAATCATTAATGAATTAATATATAAAGCCTTGGAAGTGAATGAGATCATTAGAAAGAGTGATGAGAGAGAAGAGAGCCTGGCACCGTGCCCTGAGGGAAGTCCAACCTTCAGAGTTTGGGTAGAGGAGAAGAAGTCTCAGAAGGAGTAGAGGTGAGGAAGGGAGGAAGCTTGAAGATCGGGGCGTCCCAGAGGCTGAGGCAAGAGGGACTTAGGATAAGGTAGGAGTCCCTGAGATGGGTTCATACAGGGCTCTGCCTGGCACACGTCACGAAATAACTGTTACACCCATTAGGATGGCTACTATCAATAAAACAGAAAGTAACACATGTTGACGAGGATGTAGAGAAATTGGAACCCTTCATACTGTTGGGGGGAATGTAAAATGGTGCAGCTGCTGTGGAAAAGTTTGGCAGTTCCTCAAATAATTAAAAATAGAATTACCATATGATCCAGCAAGTCTGCTTCTGGGTATAGACCCAAAAGAATTGAAAGCAGGATCTCAAAGAGACATTTTACAACCACGTTCGTAGCAATATTATTCGCGACAGCCAAAAGGTGGAAACAAGTGTCCATCGACTGACAAACGGATATGCAAAATGTGGACTATATATACAATTAAATACTATTCAGCCTTAAAAAGAAAGGAAATTCTGACACATGCTACAACATGGATAAACCTTGAGGACATTATGCCAAGTGAAAGAAGCCAGTCTCAAGAAGATAAATACTGTATGATTCTATATATATGAGGTACTTAGAATAGTCACAACCATAGCAATAGAAAGTAGAATGGTGGTTGCCTTGGGCAGGGAGGAGGGGGAATGGGGGGTTGTTCAAGGGGTACAGAATCTCTGTTTTACACTATGAACAGTTATGGAGGTGGATGGTGGTGATGGTTGCATAACATTATGAATGGATTTAATGCCACTGAACTGTACACTTAAAAATGGTTAAGATGGTAAATTTTATGTTATGTGTATTAAACCACAGTTTAAAAACATGAGGGAAAAATAGCTGTTACTATCAGAGGTGGGGGCGGGAGATTCTTATCCAGGGTGAGTCTGATGTATTAGGGTAAAGGTGAAGCTGCTATGACAAACAGCCCCCACCCATCATGTGTTTTCAAGAACCAAGAGCATTTCTCTCTCTCATAAGAGTTCTGAGGCGGGCAGGGCAGCTTTGCTCCCTTTAGGTATTCAGGAACCCAGATGGCTCCCTCCATCTTAGCATTCTGACATCGCCTAGAACACTGTCCTCAACTGCTTGAAGTTGGATCAATGGCATACCTGGGTTCCAGCCGGCAGAAGGGGAAAGAGTGTGGAGGAGCCCATATCCAGTGTCATAAGTCCCGGACGTTGCTTCCAATCCTACGCCATGGGCCAGTCTTAGGCACATGGCCATGCCTAACTGCAAAAGAGTCTCGGAAATTAGGTGTAGCTGGGCGCCATGTTCCAGAGGCGTCCACAGCAAACACTTAGTGTAGAGCCTAGAACCTTGGAACAGCTACTCAATAAATGACCCTGGAATCAAAATTGGATTGTTTTTGCAACACCAGGCTAATGGAGGCAGAGATACTCAACTCTGTGTGGCAAAACCCCAGGCAGCTGCTGATCAGATCTGTAGAACAGCAGTTCAGGATTTGCTGAGACTTGCCTTATGAGCTATTAGATTGTAAATTTTTATACGTGTTGAAAAGAACATGCATTTTCTAAGTGTTGGGTGCAGGGTTTTATGTATGTCTATTATATCAAGCTTCTTAATTGATATCCTAATTGATATTCCTAAGTTTTGTCTGTTTAATCTATCCTTTACTGAGAATGCTGTGTTAAAAATTCCCACTTTGATAGTTGACTTGTCAATTTCTTCTAGTAAATCTGTTCTCTTTTACTTAATGTATTTTCATAGTATTACTAGGTGTGTACACATTTAGAATTATTGTATGTCCTGGTGAAGTGTTCCCTTTATCATTATGTAGTGATCTTTTTACAAAATAATGCTTTTTGCTTTAAAGCCTATTTTGTCTGTTATAAATATGGTGATGCCTGTTTTCTCTTGGTTAGAATTACCTGAACTTTTATTTTTATTTATTTTTTGCGCACTTTCAGTTTAAGTCTTTCTGGCTGCTAATGTTTTTGGTGTATCCCCTGTAAACTGAAATAATTTTAGACTTACCAAAAAGTAGCAAAATAGTACAGAAAGTTTTTATATAACTTTCACCCAATTTCTTCCTCTAATATTAGCATCTTGCATTGCTGTGCTACAATGATCAAAACCAGGAAATTAGTATTGATACACTATAAACCAAACTGTAGACCTTTGAATTTTATCGATTTTTCCAGTAATGTCTGTTTTCTATTCCAGCATCCAGTTCAGGGCCCCGCACTACATTTGGTTGTCATCTCTCTTTAGCCTCCTCCAATCTGTGGCTGTTCTGCCTTCCTCCCTTGTTTTTCATGACCTTGACACTTTTGGAGAGAACTGCTCAATAATTTTACAGAATGTCCCTTAATCTGGGTTTGTCTAAGGTTTTCTCGTGATCAGGTTCACGTTATGCATTTTGGGCAAAAATATGACACAAGTAGTTTTATGCTCTTTTCTGTGCATCATGGCGAAGGCTTCATGATGCTGATAAGTCTTACGAGTGGTGATGGTAACCTGGATCACTTGGCTAGCCTGTGTCTTGGTTAAGCCGAGTTTTTCCACGAAGTTACTATGTTTCTCTTTGTAATTGATACATTTATAATTTTATAAATTTGCACCTAAAATTTTTAAAATTTTTATAATTTATAAAATTTTAGACATAGTACTTAATAAATATCTTGGGGGAGATCCTCCAAGACTATGCAAACATCCTGTTTCTCCTCAAACTTGCACCCACCAGTTTTAGCATCCATTGGAGGACCTTTCTGTTATGGTCTTGCTGCCAAATGGTGATTTTCTTTCTTTTTTTTTTTTTTGAGGAAGATTAGCCCTGAGCTAACTGCCACCAATCCTCCTCTTTTTGTGGAAGAAGACTGGCCCTGAGCTAACATCCATGCCCATCTTCCTCTACTTTATATGTGGGACGCCTACCACAGCATGGCTTGCCAAGCAGTGCCATGTCCGCACCTGGGATCCGAACCAGCAAACCCCAGGCCGCCAAAGTGGAACGTGCGCACTTAACCACTGAGCCACCAGGCTTGCCTCCCAAATGGTGATTTTCTATTTCTCTCTTTCCTTCCGCATTTATTAATTGAAATTCTTCTAAAAGGAAGACGTGTCTCTTCCTCATATACTTTTTCTCCCAATTATTTATTTATATCCATGGTCTCATGTATATTCATTTTATACTTTCAGTTATAATCCAATACTATTACTACATATTTTGTTGCTCAAAGTGTCCCAGGTTTGGCCATCGGGAGACCCTTAAGTCTGGCTCCTGTGTTCTTTTGACAAGCCCTCATCCTTTTCTGAGTACTTTGTTTTCTTTCTGGCACCAACAGATGTTCAAGGCTCATCTTGTATCTTCCCTGTTCCAACCCTATAACCACCTACTTTTTCAAGGAGCAGTGGTTCCTTTTACTGGAGAATGATGCTTAGAAACCAATATCTGGGTGCTGGGTGTGCTCATTGCTACTGGGATGTCAGTTCTTCTAGGGCCCCTCAGCAGACAGAGCTATTAAATAAAGTCCCTTATGAAACAAATCTATAACAAGGCTGATACATAATAAGTGCTGATTTCTCCTTAAAAAAATGAATGAGAAACATCTCTATAAGCTGATATGGAGTGATTTCCATATATACAGTTAAGGGGAAAAAAGTAAAGTGCAAAAAAGTATCTACGGTATGCTATGTGTCATGTAAGAAAGAAGATATAGGAAAATACATGTGTCTACTCATGTGTGCAAAAGAAGTCCAGGAAAGATAAAGCAGAAATCAAAATGATTGGTTACCCACAGGTAGGAAAGGGCTGAAAAGAAGGGAGGAATGGGAATAGGGAAGAGGGATGAGAAGGAAGCAACACTTCTCTGAATGTACCTTTTTGACTCGTAGATAATAAGAAACCCTGGTTCCTTTTATTGGAGAATGGCATTAGAAACCAAGATGTGGGTGCTAGATACGCTTGTTGCTACTGAGGTGTCATTGCATGTAGGCTCTCTCAGCTGACAGAACAAGGAGACATTTGTGTGTATACTAACCTACTCATATCCAAATACCTATAAAAATTTCTATACGTACCCATTTCTATCTCTATTAAGCTAACCGTGAGTTCATACTGCCATCTCCAACTCTAATCCGTTACCCCATGGATCATTCCAGCCTCCTCCCCTTGCTGAACCATAACCTCCTACTCCAACAGTGAGAAACCTGGCTCCCACCATCAGCCACCCATTAACCTAATTGTTTGATTCCAGCATATATGTTAAGTGATATCAGAATTGTTAACCTGTACCCCCATTGGAAACAATTTGATCAACTAGAGTATAGTGCTATGTATATCTTCTTTTGCCTTCAGTTTTGCAGATTCCGTGAATTTCCAAAGTTATTTAGGTCAGCAGCAGCTGTAGCCGTCACAGGGAGACGCCATGTGCAGGCAGCTGCCAGATGCCTCATTCACCCGGATGGCCCAGGAGACCCAGCCCAGTGCTGGAACCTGGCTATGGGGTGTAGGGATAGGCTTTGCCACATGCCCACAGACCACTCTGAGCTGGGTTTTCTGCCACATGCTGAATCTGGAACATCTCCTTATTGGCCATTTGTCTTAACTGACAAATGTATAGTACCAGTTTGTTCTTTTTCCTGATTCTGTGGCTATAACAGCATTCATCTCATCCTCTTAGTCTTTTCCTAATTTCCACCTTCTTTTAAGAATCCTGAGGCCGGCCTCGTGGCACAGTGGTTAAGTGTGCACGTTTCGCTTCTGTGGCCTGGGGTTCGCCAGTTCGGATCCCGGGTGCAGACATGGCACCACTTGGCAAGTCATGCTGTGGCAGGGGTCCCACATATAAAGCAGAGGAAGATGGGCACGGATGTTAGCTCAGGGCCAGTCTTCCTCAGCAAAAAGAGGAGGATTGGCAGCAGATGTTAGCTCAGGGCTAATCTTCCTCAAAAAAAAAAAAAGAATTCTTGCTGAGCTAAAGTTGAGGGAGTCTCCAAATGGATTATGTGTAGGACAGTGGGGTCTCCCAGTCAGTTTATTGCTTCTAAGGTCTTTCGTGGGACAGAGGGGAGGAGAGTAGTTGTTGCGGGTGGTACAATTTAAGGTTAGGGAGACGAGAAAATGCATCGGTATCTTTAGGAAATAGCAAATAACCAGTTGTATAGACATCCATCCATCTCAGTAGAGTGAAAGACCTTGAGAATTGGGCATGACATTTATTAGAAACCATCACAAGTTGGTCGGGGAATTGAAAAGCTGAGTGGACGTGTGGCCTGTGGGTTTCAGAGCAGTTGGCGGCAGTGCCAGAGTTCCATGGGCTGGGGCCCCTCTTCAGGTCCTCGCCTGAGCCTGTGGCCCTCACTGAATCAGAGACAGAGTACGTTGTCTGCTGCACCAAACACACCTTCACTGACCACATGGTGTTCCAGGTGAGCAGGGAGGGCTGAGGCCCTGCTGGGGCTTGGGCCCAGGGAGTGGTCCCAGGGTGATGGGTCCTGTAGGGTCATGGCCCCCCGCATTGAGTTGGTTGGGAGCCCAACTTGATGACAAGATCTGTCACCAGCTGGTATGTCTCTTTCGCCCTTGACCTAGGACCTCTCTGGCTCCTGAGTGTCAGCATGGAGACAGGGAGCCTGGGCAGGGGGACTGGGATGGGGTCATTTTGGCCCACAGGGTGAGAGGTAGGACCTCCTGGCAGCAGGGCTTGGACCTAGAGTGGTGTCTAAGCAACTCCTCTCTGCTGTGGTCCAGTTTGACTGCACGAACACACTCAACGACCAGACCTTGGAGAATGTCAAGGTGCAGATGGAGCCCACTGAGGCCTACGAGGTGCTCTGTTACGTGCCTGCCCGGAACCTTCCCTACAACCAGCCTGGGACCTGCTACACACTGGTGGCACTGCCCAAGGAAGACGCCACAGCTGGTGAGCCCTTCTCCAGACACTGCCCTGGCCTTGTGGGCGCCCTTGGGATCAGGATGAGGTGGGCAGCTTGTGCACTAGCCGTTGGTCTCCTATGAGAGCTTCAACTTTTATTTCAGTCCTGAGAAGCAGCATGATGGCTAAGTCCTGGGTACTTCTCATACATTATCTGATTTCATAGTCATTGAAGACCTGTGGGGCTAAGTACTGCTGTCCCTGTTCCCAGATGAGGAAACAGACTCAGGTGGAATGACTTGTCTAAGTTCACACGGCTGGTAGGAGGCAGAACCCAGGTCTCTCTGGGCCTCAGACCAGTGCTCATTGTACCATGAAAGCACAAAGACAGGCACTATACTGAACCATCCCAAATCCACTCCTCCCAAGGAAACCACCAGCTGCTTTTTCCAGACCTTGGACAGTGGGCCTGTGACTATATACATGGACATAGCCATCCCGCAGCATCTCTGCTTCCCTCTTTCTTCCTTCCCCAAGAGGAGACTCCTTGTACCCGTGGTTTCACTCTCCTGCCTTCCATGCAGTGGCATCCCTGTCTAGATTTGTGGGGTTGGATGGCATGTTGCTACTACTGATAGCATAGCAGAGACCCAGAGAGCAGGCTATGGCCACCTGCCCTATGGAGGAGCTCATCCCCCACCATGGCTGCAGACATCCTGACCACCCAGCTTCTCTTCCCTGCAGTGGCCTGCATGTTCAGCTGCATGATGAAGTTCACTGTCAAGGACCGCGACCCCACCACTGGGGAGACCGCTGACGATGGCTATGAGGATGAATATGTGGGAAGAAGCTAGTGTCAGGAGGCTCAGTTCTGTGCCTGAGGCTGCAGAGCAACTCCCTCCAGGAGCTGACAACGAGATGTGAAGCGCTTTCTTGCTGTTTTGGGCTTTACAGCTCTCCTTGGAAGAAACTTTTTTTTAACTCAAAAAGTACATGCTCATGTACAGAAAGAAAACTTGGGAAATACAAAAACAAAGTGTAAACAAATAGGAAAACATTACCCGTGGTCCTTGGGAGTTATTTGGGGGAGAGTTGCATGATTGAGATCATTCTATACGTTATACATCTTGCTGTTTTCACTTAAAACCATAGTGTAAGCATTTTCCTCTTTCATTACGAATACTTTATAAACACAATTTTTAATGACTTTGAAATACTCTGTTATGTAGATATATCATAATTCAAACATGTATTTCAAATTTTCACTATAAATGCTACATTAAACATCCTTTGGATGCAAATTTTTATCTGCATTTCAGATTATCTCCTTAGGATAGATTCCTGGAAGTGGAATAATTGGGTCAAAGGATAAGCATGATTTTAAGACTCTGATTCATTTTGTCAGCTTGCTTTCTAGAGTAGCTGGATCAGTTTGTGTCTGCTGGGTGGTCCTTTGATGCACTGAAATAGCCCTTCAAATTCCACCTCTCTGAGCTTGGATGGAACCCAGCGCAGGATCGTTCTGGGGTTTGACGATAGGGCAGTGGCTCAGTGCCACCTGAGTGCAGACTGTTATGCTCGGCCTGGGGATGGACATTGCTAGAACTCCTCATGACAAGAGGGACAGTCACTGTGGAATATAACTGACACGCACGGTTGTGTCATCCTAGCGCCACTGTTGAGGAGGGGCCTCCCTGAGTCAGCAATGACCCTAAGGGCAGGAACTGCCCCAGGACCAGGTGAGCTCCTTGGGAGAGGCGGGTCTGAGGCAGTGCTGCTGTGTAGGAGCCGCGTCCTGCTTATGTGCACCTGGCACATCCACAAGAGCAGGGGCTCAGGGAAGATGTGTTGGGGAAATGGATGGGGAAGCTTTGGGTACACTCAGTCCGAAGTAGGGGGAAGAATTATGTGTCAAGTTCAGGGACGACACAGCTAGGATGGAGGTGGGCGTCCAGGACAGGTAGGCCCAGAGGACACAGCTGAGGTAGGGGGAGGACCTGCTGAGTCATAGGAGTGACCGAGCCACAGGAAGCAGACCTCTGTGAGTGCTCCCTACAGGCCCTGGATCCTTGAGGCGCTGACTCTAGGGGGCTCCTGAGGGGATGCATCTTGCAGCTGACACCCTAAGGTGGCTACTGGGTCAGGGTGTTTTCTGTTAAAGGGACGCTACTTGGCTGTGACCACCTTGAGGACAGGGACCCAGTCAAGTTGCTGTGTGTCCCCAGAGCCTAGCACAGTGCTCAGCATCGAGCAAGCAGCTGCTGTATGTGTTGGAGGAAAGGATGAGCAGCGAGTACAGCGCAGAGGCGCAGAGGTGCACAAGCAGGGAGTTTCTCCCCTGGAAGTGCGTGCCTAACAGCCCGTCCCTCTCCCCAGCTGGAAGACCTGGAAGTCGCTGTAGCTGACCACATCCAGAAGGTCATGAAGCTGAACTTCGAAGCAGCCTGGGATGAGGTAGGAGATGAGTTTGAGAAGGAGGAAACATTCACCTTGTCGACCATCAAGACACTTGAAGGTAAAATCCTTGGCTACTGTTGGCGTGCCTCTCCCCTTTCTCTCCTCCCCGCCCCCTGCCCCCAAGGATCCAGGGCCAATGTCTAGAGCGCATACTTCAGATGCCACTTCATTAAAAACCCCTCAGAGCAGGGTTAGGGGATGGGGAGTGGTGGTGGCACAAAGGGAGACAAGATCTGTGGGTTAATGATACTGGGATTTCTCCGTGCAGAGGCTGTGGGCAATAGCGTGAAATTCCTGGGAATGCACCCTTGTGAGAGGTCGGACAAAGTGCTGGATAACAAGAACACCCACACGCTGCTCCTGGCTGGTAAGCGGCATTTCTGAGTGGGAGGGGCCTGGGCAGCTCGCAGTGCAGACTCCACTGCATCCTGGGAACGCACGCCCACTGGGAACACAGGGATCCCAACTCACAGTGCTGATGGCTCACCAGGGGCAGAAAGACCCGCAGTGAAATGTCCCCCTCCCAACCCTTGCTGCCAGTCATCCGTTCCCTTCCACGGGCGGCCAGTGTCACTATTACAGGCAATGCCGCTCTGTCCTCCAGGGATTTTGTGGCTAGAAAAGTGAATACAGACACATTTCCCTTTTTTAACTCAGATGTTTATGTACAAATGGTATGTACATTGCAATGGACCTGACTTTTCACTTGACAGTGCATCTTGGAGATCTGCCCTCTCAGTACATAGACTGTCCTCCTTCTTTCTTTTTTTGGATTGTGATAAAATATACACAACATAAAATTTACCATTTTAACCATTTAACCATTTGTACAGTTCAGTGGCATTAAGTACATTCACGCTGTTGTGCAATTGTCACCACCATCCTCTCCAGAACTTCTTCCTCATCCCAAACTGAATCCTCGTTGCTGTGTGTAGCTGCCTCATATCCCGCTGTATGGATGTTCCATAGGTTACAGAACCAGCCGTATCAATGAACACTTAGACTGTTCCAGTCTTTTGCTATTACAGACAGGGCTATAGCGAATAACCCAAGAATACACATATACATGTATACACACATACTTTATTTTGCACGTGTGCACTGAGGATATCTATAGGATAAGTTTCCAAAGGCATTACCAGGTCAAAGTGCATTTCTCATTGTGATAAATATTTCTAGTGCCTTCCATAGGAATTGTATGCCTCTGCTCCCACACTCTGGACAACACAGTATATTATCAGATGTTATGATCTTTGCCAGTCTGGGTGAAAAATGGTGTCTTAGTGTAGTTTTATTTTACATTTCTTGTATATTGAATGAAGTCAAGCATCTTCTCAAATGTGAAGTGCCATCGTATTTCCCTTTCTGCGAATTGTTTTCATATTCTTTGTCTAATTTTCTACTGGGTTGTTGATCTTTTCTAATAGGAATGGGATTTTAAGCATTCATCATGGAAATTTTCAAACATACACAAACATTGAATAGTACGATGAACCCCCATGTACCCATCTTCCAGCTTCAATAACTAACAGCATCTATACCCCTACTCATTCTCACCCCCAGATTATTTGAAAGCAAATTCTAGATAAAGCATTTTATATATAAATGTTTGTGTATCTGGGTGTTTCTCTAAGAGATAATGACTCTTTATTTAAGGGGAGGGGCAATACAGTTATCACACGTAAAACAGTGAACAGAAGGAAATGGGAGATGCTTTTTGCTGAGAGTTTATAAACAGGGTTGGGAAGGGAGCTCTGCTTCAGTGCCCTGCTCTCAGCTGACAGCCCCCAAGCCCACTGACGCCCCTCAGTCCTTGGGTCTTGCAGACACCTGCTCTGCAGTTTTGTCATGGCGGGGGCTGTCCCTTCATCGTGCTCTTAGATCCAGCCAACGTGTGAGAGCCTCTGACATCAGGGACGAGGCTTGTGTGTCTGTTAATGTATCTGAGCTTGGCAGAAGCTTGAAATACGGTTAGTATTATCTCCTCCACTTTGTAGATGAGGATACTGCAGCTGAGAGAAGCGGAGTAAGGCACGTGAGCCTCAGGGATTTCAGCCCAGCTCTCCTGGTTCCAGGCCACTCCCATTTCACTGCACGAGAGCTGCCGGATCAGTGGCTGCAAACGCCACCCTCAGCCTAGCCTCTGCAGCCCCTTCTGCCTTACACTCCTGTATTTATTGTCTCTTCCCTTCTAGGTGTGTTCCGGGGTGGTCATGACATCCTGGTGCGCTCCCGGCTGCTGCTTTTGGATACAGTAACAATGCAGGTGACAGCCAGAAGTTCGGAGGAGCTGCCAGTAGACATCATCTTGGCGTCTGTTGGCTGAGGCCAGCCTGCAGAGGCCCTGCTCCTACCCTTTTCTCCCCAGCACTACGCAGAAGTCACAGCGTCCTCCTGAACCCAGTAGAAACTCCTCAAGCCTGTGTATTCAGAAACAATTAGGAATCATTGAGGTTTTTTTTTTTTTTTGGTTTAACCCCAGCCCCAGGACTGCTAGGTGGTAACTTCTTTTTTTTTTTTTTTTAATAGGGGATGGTTTTAGCTTGTCCTAGAACTGGCTGCCCTGGCTGCCAGGGAAGAGACATTGCAGATGAATAAAATGCTTGCATCTCCTCTCGAATTTATCCCCCCTAAAACCATCTTGTCCCTATAAATAAGTCAGCACGTATTTACTGAATGACTGCTACTTCTGCAGGCTCATGCTTCAGGGCTCCACCTTCCCCTTCGAGGCCGCCCCACCGAGAACACCTGCTCTGTCCCTTTGCACCCACAGCCCTTTGGCTGCTGTACTTTGCAGGGGGCAGGAGCCGCTCCCACTCAGGGTGTGGGAGCCCCAGGCCCGGGAACAGGAGCAGCGCAGGTCTGCGGAGGCAATGACGGCCGCGTGGAGTTCACGCGCTGGGTCTCGCCCTCTCACACCAGCCTCCTCCTCCAGGGGATGCTGCGGGCCCGGGGGGTGGGGTCGCTCCCTGGGTGTCCCCAGCCTCAGGTCGGAGCTGGCGCGTGCCCTGGGGTTCGCCCGCTCCCGGTTCAGTGCAGTTCGGCGACCGCACGGAGGGGCAGAACAGCCCTTCGAGAGCACTCCGTTGGCTGCAGATGCAGAAGGGAAGCGGCCTCGGGCCACGCGGCTGCTCTTTTAAACTCGAGCCGACTTTGTGGCTGAAATACACCTGTAAAGCCGTTTAAAGAACCAGGCCTCCCCTCAGAGGTTCAGGTTTGGGGGCGGGGAAGGTGAGGCCCTGAACGCCTCGTTCTGGAGCCCACAGAAGTCTGAGAGTGACTGTGGCTCACGGAGGTTTTCCTCATGGGTGCTCAGCTTTGCCCCGAACTCTGAGGCAGGCGGCAACACGGGGAAGGGCGCCCGACATCGCCCTGGGGCCCTGGTTACGGTTCCCGCTGCACAGAGCAGGACCCAGGCTCCCCGGCGCATCGGCCCGGCTGGCCACGGAGACGACGCTGCTCCCGCGAGACTCGTCCTCCGCCCCACTCCGCGGGTGGTCCTGGGAGGGGACCCGGGGGGACATGGAGGAAGGTGGCGCTCTGAGAACCCCGGGATGGAGGAGTCTCCAAAGGCAGGCACAGCCGCCTCCTGCGGCTCTTCCGGGGGGTGCAGGCTTAGCGCCCCGCGTCCTGTGTCCTCCTGGGCGCGGGGAAGAAGCACCTGCCAGAGCCGGAGGGACGTCGCGGGGACCACCCGCCGCCTGGGGGTGGGGCTGACGCCCCAGTGCGGGCTGCGCAGTCTGAGGGCGTCCGGGAGAGGAGAGCGGCGTGCGCCGCCGGCCGAGCCGGAGGTGAGGCGACTCGAGCGGGCGGCTGGGCCCGGGTGGGGGTGCGGCGACGCGGGGCGGGCGTGCGGCGGAGGTGAGGCGACTCGAGCCGGCGGCTGGGGCCAGGTAGGGGGGCGGGCGGCGCAGGGCGGGCGGCGGAGGCGAGGAGACGCGGGCCTGCGCGGGGGGCCGGGGAAAGCGAGGGGCAGCGCGGGTGCGGCGGGCGGGCGGCGGAGGCGAGGAGACGCGGGCCTGCGCTGGGGGCCGGGGAAGCGAGGGCAGCGCGGGTCCGGCGGCGTGGGGCGGGCGGAGGCGAGGAGACGCGGGCCTGCGCGGGGGGCCGGGGAAAGCGAGGGGCAGCGCGGGCGCGGCGGCGCGGGCCGGCGAAGTGGCGGGCGGCCCCAGGGCGGAGGGGAGGCGCCGAGTTTCTGTGCGGGCGGCGCCGGCGGCCGGGGCGCGTCTGGAGCCGGGCGGGTGCTCGCTGCTGTGAGGCGCCCGTTAATCCCAGGAGGGGACGGGGAAGGGCGTGGGGACGAGTCGGTGGGGACAGAAGGCGTCGCGCAGGGGAAGGAGGTGCTGGCCCCGCAGAGACGCGGACACCCGCCTGCCTCTCCGGGCTGAGCGCTTCAGCGAGGGAGGGAGCCTCGTCCGGAGCCCCGCGTCCGTGCGTGCGGCCGGCTCTCCGGGGCCGCTGCTCTGCTCGGGGCCTGCGGGGGGCTGGCCCGGGGCCCGGGGGAGCGCCGCAGGCAGAGGCCGTTCCTCTGAGGAAGGCCGGACGGACGGTGACGGAGCCCAGTGGCGGCGCTGAGGGAGCTCCTGGGGAGCCGGGGGAGACGCTGCGACTGAAGGAGTGAGGTGCGATGTGTGAGATGCACGAGCCTCCTAGTGTTTTGTCACTGGAGGTGGTGAGAGGCCGACATCCGTCACTTACCCAGAGGTGTTCGCACAGGAGCTCGGGCTGTCAGGACAGCAGGGCCGGCAGCGTCCCCGAGTGGAGGGACCCTGATGAGCATTGCCCCTCTTACAGCAAGAGCCCTGGATGGAACAGCCCAGAGCTGCTGCCTCACTGCGCTTTGAGACGGCGGCCGCTGTGTCAGAACCGTCCTGGCTTGTGCTGGGGCGCTGTGATGTCCCTACTTCTGTTCCGTTTGGCGTGTGCTCACCTGCTGAGATGACATTAAAAACCAGCCTTTATCAGAGTGAAGGGATGAAAGGAGATACTCCAGGCAAACAGCAAGCAAAATAATGTGGGTGTAGCCATACTTATATCAGACAAAGAAGACTTCAAGATAAAAAAGATAACAAGAGGGCTGGCCCTGTGGCCAGTGGTTAAGATCCAGCACTCTGTTTCGGTGGCCCAGGGTTTCATCAGTTTGGATCCTGGGCATGGATGTGGCACCACTCATCAGGCCATGCTGAGGTGGTGTCCCATATAGCACAACCAGAGGCACTCACAACTAGAATATACAACTATGTACTGGGGGGCTTTGGAGAGAAGAATAAAAATAAAATTTAAACAAAAAAGATTGGCAACACTTGTTAGCTTAGGTGCCAATCTTAAAAAAAAAAAGATAAGAGACAAAGATGGCCATTATATAATTATAAAAGAGACATTCCACCAAGAAGACATAACACTTATTAGCATATGTGCACCTAACGCAGGAGCACAAAAGTGTATAAAGTAGCTCCTAGCAGACCTAAAGGGAGAACTTGATAGCAACACAATAATAGTAGGGGACCTTAACACTCTGCTTATGTCAGTGGGTAGATCATCCAGACAGAAAGTTGATGAGGACATGGTGGCCTTAAATGAAACACTAGACCAAGTGAACTTAGTAGATATACATGGAACATTCCCTCCCCAAACAGCAGAATACACATTCTTCTCAAATACACGTGGAACATTCTCAAGGATGGACCATATGTTGGGAAACAAAGCAAGCCTCAATAAACTTAAGAAGATTAAAATCGCATCAAGCATGTTTTCCAACCACAATACTATGAAACTAGATATGTGGAGGCTAAGCAACATGCTACTGAACAACTGTTGGATCAATGAAGAAATCAAAGGAGAAATTAGAAAATACTAGAGACAAATGAAAATGAAAACACAACATATGAAAACTTATGGGATACAGCAAAACTAGTATTAAGATGGAAATTTATAGCAATACAGGTCTACTTCAACAAACAAGAAAAATCTCAAATAAGCTTACCCCATACCTGAAAGAATTAGAGAAAGAACAACAAAGCCGAAAGTCATTAGAAGGAAGGAAATAAAAATCAGAGCAGAAATAAATGAAATAGAGACTAAAAAACAATAGAAAGGATTAATGAAACTAAGAGCTCATTCTTTGAAGATGAACAAAATGACAAACCTTTAGCCAGACTCACTAAGAAAAAAAGAGAGAAGACTCAAATAAAGTCAGAAATGGAAGAGGATAAATTACAATGGGCACCACAGAAATACAAAGGATTATAAGAGAATAGTATGAAAAGCTATATACCACCAAACTGGATAACCTAGAAGAAATGGATAAGTTCTTAGAATCATAAACTTCCCAAACTGAATCAAGAAGAAATAGAGAACATGAATAGTCCAAACACAAGCAGAGATCAAAATAGTAATTAAAAACCTCCCCAAAAACAAAAGTCCAGGACCAGATGGCTTCTCTAATGAATTCTACCAAACATTCAAAGATTTAATTCCTATCCTTCTCAAACTATTCTGAAAAATTAAAGAGGATGGTAAGCTTCCTAACTTGTTCTATGAGGCCTATATTATCCTGATACCAAAACCAGACAAGGACAACACAAAAAAGGAATATTACAGGCCAATATCGCTGATGAACATAGATGCAAAAATCCTCAACAAAATATTAGCAAATACAACAATACGTGAAAAGGTTTGTACACCAGGATCAAGTAGGATTTATTCCAGGGATGCAAGGATGGTTCAACATCTGCAAATCAATCAGCGTGATACACCACATTAACAAAATGAAGAATAAAAGTCACATGATCATTTCAATAGACAGAAAACATTTGACAATCCAACATCCATTTATGATAAAAACTCTAAAAAAAAATGGGTATAGAAGGAAAGTACCTCAACATAATAGAGGCTATATATGACAAACCCACAGCCAACATCATACTCAATGGATAAAAACTGAAAGCCATTCCTCTGAGAACAGGAACAAGACAAGAATGCCCCCTCTTGCCACTCATATTCAATATAGTATTGGAAATTTTAGCCAGAGCAATTAGGCAAGAAAAAGAAATAAAATGTATCTAAATTGGAAAGGAAGAATTGCAACTCTCACTATTTGCAGATGACATGATGCTATATATACATAAAATCCTAAAGAATCCACCAAAAAGCTATTAGAAATAAACAAATACAGTAAAGTTGCAGGATACAAAATCAACATACAAAAGTAGCAAACTAGCAGAAAGAGAAGTCAAGAATACAATCTCATTTACAATTGCAACAAAAAGTACAAAATAGGTTATCTAGGAATAAATTTAAAAAGGTGAAAGATCTATGCACTAAAAACTATAAGTCATTATTCAAAGAAATCAAAGAAGACATAAAGAAATGGAAAGATATTCTATGCTTATGGATTGGAAGAATAAACATACTCAAAATGCCCTTATTACCTAAAGCAATCTACAGATTCAGTGCAATCCCAATCAGAATGCTGATGACAGCCTTCACAGAAGTAGAACAAAGAATCCTAAAATTGATATGGAACAACAAAAGAGCCTGAATAGCCAAAACAATCCTGAGAAAAAAGAACAAAGTTGGAGGTATCACAGTCCCTGAATTCAAATTATACTACAAAGCTGTAGTAATGAAAGCAGTATGGTGCTGGCACAAACACACACACACATCAATGGAACAGAATTGAAAGCCCAGAAATAAAACCACACATCTCTGGACAGGTAATCTTCAACAAAGGAGCCAAGAACCTATAATGGAGAAAGGAAAGTCTCTTCAATAAATGGTGTTGGGAAAACTGGACAGCCACATGCAAAAGAATGAAAGTAGACCATTATCTTACACCATACACAAAAATTAACTCAAAATGGATTAAAGACTTGAAGGTGAGACATGAAACCATAAAACTCTTAGAAGAAAATATAGGTAGTAGACTTTTTGACATCGGTCTTAGAAAGATCTTTTCAAATACAATGTCTACTCAGGCAAGGGAAACAAAGAAAAAAAATAAACAAATGGGACTTCATCAGACTAAAGTGCTTCTACAAGGCCAGGGAAACCAGGAACAAAACAAAAAGACCAGGGCCAGCCCAGTGGTGTAGTGGTTAAGTTCACACACTCCACTTCAGTGGCCCATGGTTCACTGGTTCAGATCCCAGGTATGGAACTACACACCACTCATCAAGCCACACTGTGGTGGCATCCCAAATACAAAACATAGAGAAAGATTGGCACAGATGTTAGCTCAGGGACAATCTTCCTCAAGCAAAAAGAGGAAGATTGGAGGGGCGGAGCAAAATGGCGGGGTGAGCTGACCTGGGATTCTCTCCCCTCCAAAATACAACAAAAGATTGGAAGAACTGAATTTCAGAGAATAAACATAATACCAGCTCATTAGAGACCTACAATACCAAGAAGGCGGAGATCATAAACCCTGCTTACACCCTCGGAGGCACTGGAACAGTAGGAGAGAACATCGCTCCCTCCCCTAGAGTCTGCGATCGCTGCAGCGCGGGTCGGGAAGGAGCGGGGGAGGGGCCGCGCAACCGGGGATCATCCAGGACTCCTGCCGCTGATTCAGTGGAGACCCGCTTCTGTCTGCGGGGACCCCATAAATCAAGGGCCTTGGGAGACCAGAGAACAGAACTGATCTGAACCCAGACCGGCGCGTGTGAGTAACAGCCACACCCCCCCCCCCCCCCCCCCCCCCCCCCCCCCCCCGCAAAGCCAGTGGGCGCAGCCATCTTGCCCCAAGGCGGAGAGCTCATAACACGCGGCTCTCGACCCCCATCTAGTGGCG